ATAGATTTGTGCCTTTAAAAGTCCTTTTAGTTATTGTTTGAAAGGTGTGGAGGTAAATGCTAATGTATGACTACCATATCTTAATTGGAAATCTGTTGACTTTTGTGAATTTTTTTTTAATGATGTGTTTTACTCTGTAGCAGTTTTGCTTGTTATGTCTGTCTTCATCTTCTTGATATCTAGTCATAATTTTCTCATTCCTTTAAAGGAGATTCTATACCATTTTTAATTTTTTTTTCTTATGCTCAGCTCTTCAAGGTTGTCTTCCCCATACATTTCTTTAAAAAATTACCTATGAAGCCACATGTGGTGGCACATACATGTTATCCCAGTGATATGGGGTGCTGAGATAGGAGAATCATAAGTTTGAGGTCATCTTGGTCAAATTAATGAGACACTGTCTCAAAATAAAAAATAAAATGGCTTGTGATATAGCTCAGCGGTAGAACATCCCTTAGCTTGAATCTCTAGTTCCTCCACCTCCAACTTGCATATGCAACTTACTAGATAAACATACACCCCTTGTACCATATAACATTATAATGGTATGTAAAGGAAAAGTTTTTTATTTATGATCTTGAAGCAAGCTTTAGCATATACTCCCACTATTTTTTATATTTCTAGAAATATTACATGTGATTTTTGACTTGTAAATGACATTATCCTTAACCAATTGAACAAATAATAGACCAGGAGAAATTAAAGACCAGGAGAAAATATTTGTACTTATTATATGTTGACTAAAAGTTCTAATACCCTCCTACCAATTGAAAGAAAAAGATAATCGTTAGTAAAAGGGACCAAGGATATGAAGTTAAGTCACAGAAGCGGAAATATAAATGCCCAGCAAACTGAGGTAAAGATGCTCAGTTTCCATTGGTAGTCAGAGAAATGCAGATAGAAATAACAATATGAGAGACTTGGCATCAAGTCTATCAGATTGGCAAAATTTAAAATGGCAATTTCCGATGAAGGTAAAAGAAAATTGGCTCTTTTTTATGTTGCTGGTGGAAGCTGCAACAACCTTTTAGCACATATTCTAGCAGTATCAAATATGTTTTTGTTTTTTCTTTTACTGACTTAAGAATCTCTTTTATAGGAACAAAAGCACCTACCCTTAAGAATACAGGTATAAAAGTATTTAATTCAACTTTATTGGTAATGGCAAGAAACAGACAAAAAATCTGGATCAATCTAAATGGCCACTGTTCTGGAAATCATTAAATTATGGTATATATAACTATTGATCATTAAATCATGGGGTTTTCCAGGTAGGAATTGATATATTATTGCAATATGTATAATATTATATTTTGTTAAAAACATGGGGGTAAAGGAGGTGAACCCTACAGAGGAGTATCTTAATGTTTAAAACCAGTCATTTCTATAAACATCTGGTAAAACCTGTATGAAATTACCTTAACAAGGGCCACTCCTTCCTTTTAATCTGATTACTCCTTTTGTGTGTAGAGGGAGATAAGGCTAAATATCAACTAGGTATCCCATGGACTTGTTTCACTGGTGAAACTCATGTCTTATCCTGGAAAAATAGCTAGAGGAGGCTAAGAATCATTGTTCTTTAGAGTATATTCCTGTGAATGGGCAGAAACTCCTGTAGCTATACAATTACAAATTATAAAAGATACCATTCTCCTTTTCATATTTACTTTCATTAATACACATTTATTTTTCACTTTGTCAAATCAGTGTCACTACTTTTATTTCCATGGGATTTTGAGGACATTTAGAATGCTTAATAAACCCTCTGAGTCAAATTTTAAAATTATAAATTTATCACTAACAATTATGCCTTCATAGAATTGAATTGGACATAGAAAAATGTAACTTTTTTTTTATGGTGCTGGGAATTGAACTTAAGATCTTACATGTGCTAGGCAAGCACCCTACCACTGAGCTACATCCTCAACCCTAGAAATATATAATAAGTGGGACGTATGGTTGCTGCTAATATTTTTATTTCAATTGATATGAAATGAGTAGAGAACTAAAGTACATGATAATGTAGTCAACTTTAGGTACAAGTGTCTGAGTGAATGATGAGCATGAAAGTGGGTTGGTCATGAAAGATTCCTGTGAGGAAAAATAAGTGTTGAAGAGTTATTTTCCCTTCTTCCCTCCCTATTATTATTATTATTATCATTATTATTATTATTTATTTATTTTTTTCAGTACTGGGGATTGAACTGTTGGGGGTCTATCCATGCTAGGCAAATTTTCTACCACTGAGCTATATCCCTAACTGGTTCTAAAGAATTTGTTAGATATGAATGGGTGGCAGGATGATACTCTTATCTTGGATTCCTTTAATGGGTTAACTACTTACTTTCCACTAAGTGCAGTCTTCAACCAGAAATAATACTAGCTAATAATCAGGAAATTCTGAAAAATATGGCATTTTGGAAAATACAAATAAATTATTCAATTTCATTCTCAAAGCAGGAAGATCACTATTTATAATGTTTAGGCATAAGTCATATTTTAAAGTTGGTAAGCATTACTTTTGTTCTGGAAACTTAATATTTGACCAGATCTCTAAATAAGGATTAGTGGAATTGGAAAACATTCACTTTAGGGATGATTTTTATGAAGAAAACCTAGTTAATACTCTTTCCTTATTTCCCTAATTCACAGGGATAAAATCACAGTGATCTGTGGATGGATAAGAATAGGTATATGGGATCCATGGTTCCTCCAGGAACTATTTCTCTGGTTTAGTGGCCATATAAATTTGTGCATCAGAATCATCTGGGCAAACTTGCTTTCCACTTTATAAGCAATTTAAAACAAACAAAAAAGTAGAACAGTATAACAAGTAGGAGAATATTTAGCAATACATATTCCAAAGCTTTATTAGACCTGCTGATTCAAACATGAAACCTATTCAAAAACTAAATTCACATTCTGTCATGCCAGGCAGTTCTGATATTAGCTTATGTTTGGTTAGCATTATGTTATTGATACAGGTAACTTTGCTCTGGTAGATAAATGTCTCAAAACAAAGGCTATTTAAATGATTTATCTTGACCTATATTCACACCAACTCCTTATCTCTATATATTCTTTCAGCATTGTCCTTAATTTTTGTAACCAAATAAAACTTGAGTAATAATTTAAGTGGCTTTTCATTAGTAGGTCTTTTACTTTTAGATTTTTTTTTGATGTTTGAATATGAAATCAGTGCTAAATGAAGCACTTTTTAAACAATATATTTTTTAAATATTTATTTTTAGTTGTAGTTGGACACAATACCTTTATTTTATTTATTGTTTTTATGAGGTGGTGCTGAGGACCGAGCCCAGGGCCTTGCACGTGAAAGGTGAGCACTCTACTGCTTAGCCACAAGCCCAGCCCCAAATATTTTGTTTTTTAGTTGTAGTTGGATACAATACCTTTGTTTTATTTATTTTAGTTTCATGTGGTGCTGAGGATCAAATCCAGCACCTTGCATGTGCTAGGCAAGTGCTCTACAGCTGAGCCACAACTCCAGCCCTTAAATGAAGTAATTTAAAGTAATGCCTTGCACTGTAGAACTTTGACCAGAACTATCTTTTTACCAACATTATCATCATATGTTCTTTCTGATAACTGCCTTGTAAAGTGGTTAATTTCATCTCTGTTACATACATGGAAATAAGATTTACAAATAGGAATTGTACAGTTTCTTGTAACTGCAGTTGTAGAGTATGGAATATCTGGAATGAATTTATAGTGATTTTGGAGACTCCTAGTAGATCTTTTTCCCTATTGTTTATTCCTAATAGTTTACTTTTCTTTGCTTTGTGTCAAATTGGATTACAGGTGACTTATTGTTGAGAATGCTGCTTTATAAAGACTATCAAATTAAGAAAAGTGACTCATCATTTTTAAAAAAAATATAATTAAGCTATAGAATGTTCTATGCCAGGACAAGTTTTTTTCTTTTTTAATATGTTTAGTTGTAGAAGGACACATTACCTTTATTTATTTTATGTTATTTTTTAATATGCTGTTAGGGTTCGAACCCCAGTGCCTCATGTGTGCTAGGCAAGTGCTGTACCACTGAGCCACAACCTCAGCCCCAGGACAATTTAAAAAAATCTTAGGTGAAATTCTTTGTTAAAGTATCACAGAAGTATTTTTTTTCTTTAAAATACTTATTCTAATTTTGTGTGTTTCATATATGATGCTTTTTTTAAGGTATGAATAGAATATCCAAATATCTGTGKCATAAATAATGACATTTGCTATCTTACAGGAGTTCTAGAAGAAGGTTGGCTAATTCAGTAACCCAGCATTTAGTGTAGTGGGGATCATCATTCTGATGATCATGGCCACACTTTGGCTGTGTTATGTCTAAGCAAAACACTCTTTCACAACAAAATCCAAAAGCAGGAAAGGAGAGCAGGGCCCTTCCCATCAATTTCTTTTAACTGGGTGGAAAATCTTTTCTTGTAATCACAGCAGGCTTTACTTTATGTCTTTATGTCACATTAGTCAGAATTGGTTGCATACCTGTTCCTAAATCAATTACTAATAAGAAGAAATGAGATTTCTATGATTGTCTTAGAATTGAAGGAGGGAGCCAACTATGTGATCTCCATGATGTCTCATATCATTTAACATATCAAACTGTTAGTGCTTTGTCATCACAATAGGGGGTAGACTGATGGGTAGACAATCACTAGCATATGCCAGAATGTAGTTATATTGTGACAGTTTTAGATATACTACATATCAGGTATTCCTGTGCAGAAAGTAAAATTTCAGTATATTGGCTTTTTAAAGAAAAGCAGGTTCATTTGAGAAGCACGTTAATCCCATAAGTGCTACTTTGTGATGAACGCAGGGACCCAGTGGTTTGCTTCTAGTTGTTTAGCTCTTACTTATTTTTGTCTTGGGTACAGTACTTGTTTATTTTCCTCTGATATGAAGGTCCAAAATGCTACTACATTATTTTGACAGTGGTTTCTGATTCTTTAATTTGTAATTGCTCTTCTTAGGTGGATTCTCCACAGTTTTTCTGGTGCGTACTAATGGTGGAGTTCGATGTGCATTGAAGAGAATGTATGTCAATAACATGCCAGACCTCAACATTTGTAAAAGGGAAATTACAATTATGGTAAGTAAAAAAGTAATTTTGTTTTAGAAATTTTGGGTCCATCCTTCCTTCCTTCTTTCCTTCCTTCCTTCCTTTCCTAGAGTTTAAACCTAGGTCTTTGTGCATTTAAGGTAAACAAACACACACTACCACTGAGCTACATCTCCAGCCCTTTTTATCTTTTATTTTGAGACAGAGTCTTGCTTACTTACACAGGCTGGCCTCGAACTTGAGATTTTCCTGTGTCTGCCTTCAGAGTAGCTGGGATTATAGGCATGCACTACCATGCTTGGCGTAATTAAGTGTATTTTCTTTTATGTTTTATATTGTGATGTTCATAAGCTTTTTAGGAAAACTGCTTATTAGTTTATGTGAATTTAGAAAACTTTTGAAGATCATTAAATCTGAAAATTATCTGGGAATTTATAGTTCATTCAATATAGCCATACTTAAAGCTAAATACAGCCAGCCTCATTCCCTCTTCTTTCCTCTGTTCTCTACTATAGGTTCAATAGCCAAACTATTCTTGTTTCTTTTTTCTTTTCTTATATTAATTTTATTTAGGGAATATTTTGGGGATAGAAAAATTTAGATAATTATGAAATAAGCACCATCATCCATTTTAAGAAATAAAACTTTACAGATACTGTTGGAGCCTTCTCTGTATTCCTCCCCATCTGTAGTCTTGTACTATTCTCATCCCAAAAGAAACCACTGTTTTGAATTTGTTATTTAACATTCCCATCATATTTTAAACATTTAATGTATTTATTTATATTCGTAAACAGTAATTAATTTTGCTTTTCATTTTAAAAACTATGCTGTAAAGTTGATTTTCTTGAGAACTCTGTACTTTATGATGAGGTTTCCTTCAAGAGAGAATTTTTTTTAAGTATTAGGAAAAGTAAAAATTAATAGGCCATTAAAAACTTCAATGACCCTTAGTTAACTTCATAGTTAAAAATAATTATAAAAATTTCTTTTCCAGCATTGCTTATTCTCAGTGCTCTGGATGACTGCTTATTCTTTTTCTCACTTCTCTTCCTCTGTTGTTTATCAGTTGCTTTTATGTGTATGTGTACGTGTAAGTGTATATTTTTGTCTTGAGGTGAAATTCACATAGTATAAGTGAACATTTCAGTGGCATTTAGTACATTCACAGTATTGTACAACTATTGCTTCTATCTCATCCCCAAACCTTTCCAATATCCCAGAAGGAAACTCCCTACCATTGAGTAATTGCTCCCATTCTCCCTTTCCTCCAGTTTCTGACAAATACCCTTTTGTTTGTGAATCTCTATGGATTTATTTGTTCTTTAAATTTTCTATAAATGGGAGTTTACAATGTGTGATCTTCTGTGTCTTCCTTTCACTTAGCATAATGTTTTTGAGGTTTCTGTCATTGTAGTGTGTATTAGTATTTCATTTCATTTTTTTTTGGCCAAATAATAGTCCATTGTATATATATGCCACAATTTGTTTATCCATTTATCTATTGATGGATTTTAAAAAATAATTTGATGGACATTTAGGCTGGTCTTATTTATTGTGAATAATAGGAATATGTGTAAACATTGATTTGTTTGAGTAGGTAGTTTTGGTATTTTGGATTATATACATGTAGGACTGGAATAGATGGTTGTATGGTAATTCTGTATTTAACTTTTTGTGTGTATGGTACTGGGGATTGAACTCAGGGCTTGGAACACAGGGCCTCATGCATGGTAGGTAAGCATGCTCTGTCACTGAGCTACATCTTCAGTCCTTTTTATTTTCTTTTGAGACAGAGTCTCTGAGTTGCCCAGGCTGGCCTCAAACTCACAATCTTCCTTCCTTGCTCTCCTGAGTAGTTGGGATCATGGACATGTGCCATTATACTCAATTATGTGTTTAACTTTTTGAGGAACTGCCAAACTGTGTCTTTGTGTGTGTGTGTGTGTGTGTGTATCTCCTCCCCCCCCCTCACACACACACACACACACACACACACACTTTAAAATTTTTATTTAGAGACAGGGTCTCACTGAGTTGCTGAGTACCTCGCTAAGTTGCTGAGGCTTTGAATTTGCAATCCTCTTGCCTCAGCTTCCCAAGAGGCTAGGATTATAGGCGTGCACCACCATTCCTGGCCACTATATTTTATTAATGTCAGTGTCAGTGTACTTTTCAACTCTAAAGAGGGGAATTTCTTTTTTCTTTTTTTCATGCTGGGGATCAAACCCAGGGCCTCATACATGTTAGGGAAAAGGAAAAGCTCCATTACTGAGTTATAACTCCTCTCATTCCTAGGAGGGATTTTTTTTTTTTTGTATCAACATCTTTACTAACATAATACATTTCATCTGAAAATAGTGCATTTATATAATATGACTTTTGAATTTGGCTTTTCTTGTCTTTCTTCCTAAGCTTGATTAGTCATGATTAGGCTTTGGGGCTTTTTTTTTTTTTTTTGGTACTGGGGATTGAACCCAGGGGCACTTAACTACTGAGCCACATCCCTAACACTTTTTAAATATTGAATCTAGAGACAAGGTCTTCCAGAGTTGCTCAATTCCTTGCTAAGTTGCTGAGGCTGGATTTGAACTCTCGATCCTCCTGCCTCATATTTATAAGTCTCCCAAGCCACTGGGATTGCAGGCGTGTGCCACTGTGCCTGGCCACAATTTTTTTTTTTTTTTCAGGTAAAGATATTTCAGAAGGGTGAAAAGGATTTATTCCAAGATAATGGTTAAGCCTAAACCAAATTCTCTAACTTGTGGCCAGATATTGTACTATTGTGCCATAATTCATCCTTTCACTAGAATTTTTATAATTCTATGCCTTTGAAGAATGTATTTTAAGAGAGATTAATGCTCTTTGGAATGGTGATCTTCCAAATTTTTTTGATGACCCATTTCTCTGTATATTACTATTTATAAGTATTTATTATTCTGTATTACATATTTATACGTTATTTATATGTTGTTTTAGTCAGCTTTTTCACTGTTGTGATTTAAAGACCTGACAAGAATAATTTTAAGGAGGAAACGTTTATTTTGAGGCTCATGGTTTCAGAGGTCTCAGTCCATAGATGGGTGACTCCATATCCTTAGGGCTGAGGTGTGAGACAGGATGTTATGACAGGGGTGGCTGAGGAAAGCAGCTCAGGACATGGAAACACAGAAGTGGAGAGAGTTCCATTCAACAAGGACAAAATATATACCTCTAAGGTACATCTCCAGTGACCCACCTTATATAGCCACACCCTACCTGCATACATACCCACTTGGTCTCCATGAGAAGACTAATGCACTGATTAGGTTAAACCTCATAACTCAATCATTTCACCTCTGAACTTTCTTGTGTTGTCTCACACATGAGCTTTCTCATATCTAAATGATAACACATATTTAGTGACCACTACCCCTCATCTGAAATTACATTGCATAATTTATTATTAATTACATTATATTGCATAGCTTATTATTAATGACAGTGGTTGTAAATTCATTTAAAATGGTATTCTTCATTATTGGATTTTAGTTTCTAAATAGACTTGATTAGATTTTTGGAAGGGTGATGAGGGTAGTTGTTTTTGTTTTGTGATGCTGAGGATGGAACCCAGGGCCTTATGCATGATAGGCAAGCATTCTACAACTGAGCTGCACCCCCAGCCCTGTTTTAAAATCATTGTATGCAGATGATTACCTTGCACTAGGAGTAGAGAATCCAGATTTGCCATTTTGTTGTTATTTTTTAAAATTACATTATTGTGTTATTGGTGTTATCTTTAACCTTTGGGTACTTTTCACAACTTTTTGTACCTTAGTTCAGTTTTTAAGTTATTTAGTTAAAAGTACATGTAATAACTGTATATACCCATATGTTTCAGTATGTTGCAGGCAAACAAATGAGAGTATTTCATTAATATTAGAACTTAATTATTGTTTTTTTAGTTAAAAATAAATTAAGTAACAGTTTTGATATTCTTGAGTCCCCCAAAACTTTATTGTAATAATAATACTATATTGTAATAATAATACTATTACTACTTTGGAAGCTTTCCTGATAGAAATTAAAAATAAGTATTTGTTGATTTTTTTTTTTTTTTTAATGAAATGACAGTCTCGTACAAGTAAACTTTGCATCAAACCATAGAAGCTTTTGGCTGTTTGAAATACATCAGATTTCGTACTTATGCATTATATTTACCTTTAGAAAATCATTAAATATGTTAATTTAGGCTTCAGACTATTGCTAATGATACTGGTTTAATATACATGTGGACATTTTCCAATTTAAAAGGTTTGTTTCTTTTTTACAGAAAGAGCTCTCTGGTCATAAAAATATTGTGGGCTATTTGGACTGTGCTGTTAATTCAATTAGCGATAATGTATGGGAAGTACTTATTCTGATGGAATATTGTCGAGGTAAGTATCTGTCTGCATTTATATTATACTAAAAAAAAATTCCTCTTGTATGAGTTACTAGGTATCTTGGTTTCTCCCAGGACAGCTTGTATCTGATCATGGACATTTATTATTGCATCTTCTATTTTGACGGAAACTGCCCCCGCCCATTTTTTCTTATTTTGGATTAAGTTCTGCATATCAAAGAAAACATTTGACCTTTGACTTTTTGGGTCTATCTTATTTTACTTAGTCTGATAGTTTCCAGTTTCATCTATTTATTGGCAAATGCTATAATTTCATTCTTCTTTATGGCTAATAATCCATTGTGTGTATATACTACATTTTATTTGTTTATCTGTTGAAGAGCACTTAGGTTGGTTCTATAGTCTGTCTATTGTGAATTGTGCTGCTATAAACATCAATGTGGCTATATCCCTATAGTATGCTAATTTTAGATCTTTTGGATTATACTGAGGAGTGTGATAGCTGGGTCATATGGTGATTCCATTTCTAGTTTTCTGAGGAATCTCTGTATTGCTTTCCAGGGTAGTTGCACTCCCACCAATAATTATGAGTGTACCTGTTTCCCCACATCCTTATCAGTACAGACTGTTATTTGTATTCTTGTTAATTGTCATTCTGACTGGAGTGAGATGAAATATTAATGCAGTTTTTATTTGCATTTCCCTAATTGCTAAAGTTGTTGATCATTTTTTTCATATATTTGTTGCTAGTTGTATTTTTTATTTTGAGAACTGTTTAATTCTTTTGCCCATTTATTAGTTGGATTATTATTACTTTTTTGATGTTAAGTTTTTTGAGTTCTTTATATATTCTGGATATTAATCCCTATCTGTGGAGCAAGTGGCAAAGATGTTCTCTCGTTCTGTAGGCTCTCTCTTCACGCTTTTGTTTCTTTTGATGTATAGAAGCTTTTTAATTAGGTGCCATTCCAAATTTTGATTTTTTTTTTTGTTTTATTTGTTGCACTTTAGGAGGCTTGGTAAGGATGTCAGTTCCTGTACCAACATGTTTGAGTATTTGACGTATAGAGTTGCTGGTCTAATTTCTAGGTCTTTGATCTATTTTGAGTTGACATTTGTGCAGAGTGAGAGATATAGTGGTCAAGTTTCATTTTTGTACTTATGGGTTTCTAGTTTTCTCAGCACTATTTGTTAAAAAGTCTGTCTTTTCTCCAGCTTATATTTTTGGCACCTTTGTCTTGGGTCAGATACCTGTATTTATGTGTGTTTGTTTCTGTGTCTTCAGTTTTATTCCAGTGTTTTTCATGTCTGTTTTGGTGCCATTACCATGCTGTTTTTGTTACTGTAGTACTGTAGTATAATTTGAAGTCCTGTATTGAGATGCTTCTAGCATTGCTCTTTTTGCTCAGGATTGCTTTGACTGGTCTGGGTCTCTTATTTTTCCAAATGAATTTTAGAACTTCTCTTTCTAGTTCTGTGAAGAATGTCATTGGTATTTTAATGGAGATTACATTGAATCTATATAATGCTTCTAGTAGTGTGGCCATTTTGACAATGTTTTTCTTCTTATCTAAGAACATGGGAGGTCTTTCCCTTTTCTAAGGTCTTCTTCAGTTTCTTCTTTTAGTGTTCTATAGTTTTCATTGCAGAGCTCCTTTATTAGTTTAATTCCCAAGTATGTTAATTTTTTGAGTTCATTTATGAATGGGATAGTTTTTCTAATTTCATTTTTCAGCAGATTCATTACTGGAGTATAGGAAACTGATTGATTTATGTATGTTGATCTTGTATCCTGCACTTTAAATTTATTTTTCTGTTCTAGAAGTCTTATAGTGTAGTTTTTGGTATCTTCTAATTGTAGGATCATGTTGTCAGAAACAGAGATAATTTGAACTCTTCTCTTTTTGCTTGTGTTCCTTTAATTTCCTTCTCTTTTCTGATTGCTTTGGCTACAGTTTTAAAACTATGATGAATGGGAGTGGTGAGAGTGGGCATTCTTGTCTTGTTCCTGTTTTTAGAGGAAATGCTTTCAGTTTTTCTTTGTTCAGTGTGATGTTGGCCTTGGGATTGTCCTGTTTAGCCTGTACAGTGTTGAAGTAAGTTTCTTCTATTCCTGGTTTCTCTAGTGTTTTAAATATGAATGGGTGCTCTACTTTGTCAGTGCTTTCTCTACATCTATTGAAGTTATCATGTGATTGTTGTTCTTAACTCTATTTATGTGGTGAATTGCATTTATTTATTTTTGTATGTTGGACCAGCCTTACATCCCTGAGGTGAAACCCACTTGATTGTGGTTCACTATCTTAATGTTTTTTTGCATGTCATTTGGCAATATTTTATTAATAATTTTTGCATCTATATTCATCAAAGATATTGGCCTGAGGTTTTCTTTCCTTGATGTGTCTTTGGTTTTAGTGTCAGGCTTCATGGAATGAATTTGGTAATGTCTCCAAATAAATGGAGTCTTGCTTCCTATCTTGTTGCTTAACTTGGATGAGGGATAGAGGAAGAAATCAGTCACCTGGCTTAAAGCAGTTCCAGTGATTCAGTCCTTGGGTATTGAACAATGACCCCAAAGGTGGTTGGGGTCATTGTTCTCACCCAGCAATAGGTTTCTCTGTGGTAGGCCTGGTTCTCAGTTTTGACTCCAAGACCTGGACTTCATTCCTTTAATTCCTTCAAGCAGAAAGCACCTGTCTCCAGTCTGGGGATGGATGACCCCAGAACTCTTTCCTTCTGCTTTTTCCAGCATATCTTTTCTTTTTGTTACTAAAACCAGGCACTGCAGTCTCTCACCTGGCTTCCTTAGCTTTTGTGAAGGTGGTTTATGATGTGTGAATATGGGTGCAAATTGGTGTGTTTATGGGGAAAGGATTATTGGAGAGTCTCACTTAGCTGCCATTTTGCTCTATCTGTACTTACAATTTAATGTAATTGAATAAAAAATAATTATAAACCCACTTGAGTTTTATTGTCACCTGGAGTACTTTTTTTCCTTTCTTTTTTATTGTGGTGGGCATTGAACTCAGCATGCTAGGCAAGTGCTCTACACTGAGTCACACCCCTAGTCCAGGAAGCATTTTAAAGAGGGAATTAAACGAGAATATTTATCTGATGTTTGAATCAGCAGGTTATATTTTATATGAATTTTAAAATTTTATCAAAGTAATTTATGTATATGGTTCAAAAAATCAAATAGTTCTGTTAAACTATGGCTAATTCAGCAGCTTCCTTCCCCATCCCTCTCCTCAGATGCAGTGACTTTAAAGGAGATGTTTCTCCTCATAGTTTCTTTTATATTTGCACTATATTATGCAAGTGAGAACCAGTAGTTTTAGTGAAATTCTGAGAGTAAAAAAGAGAAGGAACTTAGAAAAATCAAGAGTAGTATGTGATTCTGGGCAGGGGGTTTGTGGGGTGGGTTGTTCTTAAAAGAATGCTTGTTAAGCTGGGTGTGGTGGTGCACACCTGTGATTCCAGTGGTTTGGGAGGCTGAGACAGGAGGATCAAGACATGGAGGTGCTAAGCAACTCAGTGAGACCCTGTCTCTATTGAAATACAGAATTAGGCTGGGGATGTGGCTCAGTGGTTGAGTGCTCCTGAGTTCAATCCCTGGTATCCTCCCACTCTGCCCCGCAGAATGCTTGTTAGTGCTGTTTCTAATTTATGCTTTAGATATTGTTTTCAAGATGAGGATTTACTCCTAGGGTAGACTATGCTTAGTTCATGGCCTAAATAAGTGTTTTAATTATTTTGTTTGCCATTTATGGATGACATGCAATAGTGTATAATTACATTTCCTTTCTTGTACAGCTTGTTTTTCCTGGAGTTAATAATTACCTCATTTTTCACTTGTCTGGTTTCTTCAAATATATTAGTATTTTACCCCACATTCTTTAATAGAAGTACAAATCATTATGAAGTATGTTTAAATATTTCAATACTTGTGTCAGTTTTGCTTTTTCCTTCCCTTCAAAACCTGCTTTGGGGAGACTTCAGTTTATATATATATATATATATATATATATATATATAAAATAAAGAAAATATTTATTTATTTATTTTGCTGTGGGGGGGTGGGGTAGAAGGATTGAACCCAGGAGTGCTTAACCACTGGGTCACATCCTCAGTCTTTTCTGTTTTAAGGCAGGGTCTCACTAATTTGCTTAGAGCCTCACTAAGTTGCTGAGGCTGGCTTTGAACTGTTGATCCTCCTGCCTCAGCCTCCTGAGCCACTGGGATTACAGATGTGCACCACCACACCTGGCCACCTACTTAATTTTAAACAGTATTTAGTTGTCATTCTGAGAATTCCCCTTGACTTTCTTTTCTTAAATTCTCTGCTACTTATGCCTCCCCTTTGTTTACTCCCTCTTTTGGAAGAGTATATTTTTCGGTAGCTTTCTGATAAAATGAATTTGGGAGGAAACATTTTTGAAACCTAAAATATATAAAAATATCAATATTCTGCATTCATATTTGATTGCCAATTTGTCTGCCTAGAAGATTGTAGCTTAGAAATAATATTAATGCAAAACTGGGATGACATTATTATTTTTTCTCAGTATTGCTATTGAGAGGTCTGATGCTATTGTGATTCCTTAATTTTTTTTTATGTGACCTCTTTTCTCCAAAGACATTTTTAGTTAGAAACTTTCCTTTATCTTCAGCATATTGAAATTTCACAATTTATGTTCCTTCATTTGGGTATTTTTGGTAGCTCCCCTTTTTGTGGGACACTTTTTTCTCTCATTTTTTTCCGTTCTGTTTCTGGACTGTTAGTTTTTAAAGATGTCTGTCTTTATAAATCATTCTTTTGATTTTCTTTTCATCCTCATTTTATTTCTTTTTAAACTTTTGTTGGAAGCTCTGAGTTCTTCTATAGAATTTTGTATTTTTGCCATTTTAATTTCTAAGAATCCTTTCTTGATCTTTCAATGTTCTTTTGTTAAAATATACCTTGCTCTTATTTGAGATGCAAATCTTTTGATTTCTGTAGATATAAATTTTAATTTTTGGGGGGGAGGGCATAGTGCTAGAGATTGAACACATGGCCTCCTGCATGCTAGGCAAATGCTTCTGCCATTGAGCCACATACCCAGTCCCCTAAATTTTAGTTCTTAAGAATATATTTTTTTTTCTTCATGTCTCTAATCTCAGAAACTGAGAAGCTGAGCTCACAAGTTTGAGGCCAGCCTGGACAGCTGGTGATGTAGCTCAGTGGTAGAGCACCCCTTGGGTTCAATCCCCAGTATCATAAAAAAAGTGAAAAAAATTTTCTCTTTTCCTTTAATTTTAATTTTTTTTTCTGAAAATTTCCTATTCTTAACTGTGCTTTCTTTTTTATACAAGAAGTTTTTTTTTTTTTTTCAAATATTTCACTGGCTAAGTTAGTATACTACATATAGTACAGATCAGAATGTACCATCTGAATGGGCAGTTTTATTTTAGGAGAAGGATCCAGAAACCTGAACTGAGTATGCTCTGTTCCTTTTTTCTGATTAATCAGTTAGATAAGTTCCTTTTTCTCCCATGGGGGAGAAGTCATTTGGAGGAGCAGAGGATGAATATTCTTCTCTTCCTTTATAAAAGTCAGTTGTATGTTAAGAATGAAGGCACTTTTGTAAAGGAACCAATGTAATATAAATAGTTGGGTATATAGGTTTTGATTATGTTGGAATAAAACTATATAGGTAGTAGAAGAATATGTTATATAACCAATATACCTTTATAAGTTTTCAGGTATCCATTGTTTAAAATAATTTCTTATGAAGTGTAATCATTTTTTGTCTCTGCAAATTTATAGTTTGCTACTGCTTAATTTGCCAATTTTCTGATATCCAGACTTCTAGAAATCTGTATTGGCCTTTTAAAAACATTTCTATTGTTTTATGAATAATTTATAAATAAATTATGAAAATTTATGAATTTAAAAATTTCTATTTTTAGGAGTTCTAAGTCCTATGAATTATACATCTGCTAGTTTTTGCTTAATAACAAAGTATCTCCAAACTCAATAGCATAAAATAGTCATTTATTATTGCTTATCTATCTTCGGGCCAGCTGTTTTGGATTGAATGTGGTGGGTGGCGCTGCTGATTTCAGCTGGGCTTGCTCACATGCCAGGTGGCAATCTGGGATAAGTTGAAGTAGCTTTGCTTCACATGTCTCTCATCCTCTTTCTGGCACTAGCAAGCTATTGATTTCCTCATAGAGATGGTAGAAACATAAGAGTGTATGCAGAAGCACATGAGTCCTCTTAAGGCCTACGCTTGGGATTAGGTATATTGCTACTTTTACTTTTTTCTCTTGGCAGAAGTAAATCACATGACTGAGCCTTAATCAAAGAGCAAGAAATGTTCTCTGCCTATTTTACTGGGAGGAGCATCGAATTACAGGGCAAAGATTATTGAAAAAGGGAAGGTTGAAGATTTGAATACAGTAATGCAATTTACTACTGTTAAAAATGAATAATTTTATAAAAAAGGCATTAAAATTTAAATGGAGTAATAGGTTTTACTTGAGGTTTTTAAATTAAGTGATAATAATTGCACTCAGACATAAAGGTTATTGGACAACTTTAAGAGGTTAGAAAAATCTTGATTTTCTTATTAAGTTCAGCAGAATGTAACATCTTTTGTTTAGGAGATAGTACTATTTGGAAAATCTGGATAGACTTGAGATCTACATGCCTAGACCTTCAATGTGTAATCCTTGATTTCCAAATCTGATATATTTTTTTTTTTTACTGTTTTTCATCTGTTACTTAATTTTCACAAACCTCTGATTTTGAGTAAAAAAAATTTCTACATTTGAAATTTAACTCATATACAGTTTTAGTTATTATTGGGGACTTGGTTTTTGTGATTAAGGATTTCTACTTGAAAGATCTCTGTTGAGAAGAAAGGGAATTAACATTTGTTTACAATTATCCTGAATATTATAACACTATAAGAGGTGGAATGAGTTCAAGGTTATGATTTCTTTAGCTGTGAAGTGATATTTCAAGTTTGTGTATGAATATCAAGAACACATTTTTCTTCTGGTTTAATTTTTAGTTAAAACAGACTTTCCCTAGTTTAACAATAGACATCTGCCAAGGAAACTGCTGAACAAGGGAGTAAAGGAAGTTGCTGCCCACTTAGGTGTCTCTCAATCTTCTGAGATAACCTGAACAAATTATCCCAGAGTTTTCTGAAAAGTCAGGGATTCCACCCCCCTCCCCCCTCCACCCGCTTTGTCAGGCTGGGGATCTAACCCAGAGCTTTTATGCATGCTAGGCAAGAATGCTACCACCAATCTATATCCCCACTCCAGGGATTCATAAGTAAATTTTTTTTTCTGCTTTAAAATTTCAAAAGAAAAGATAAAGGCAAGAGATTGCTGTTTAGATAGTAATAACAAAAGCAACAAATATACTTGTTGCTTTTTACAGATTGTAGAGTATCCAGCATTCATCCTTATTAAAAAAAAAAGTTTCAAGTTAATATAAGCTTTATACTCTTTTAAATTCCCAAATTTGATTTTTATAGAATACTTCTTTATGAATCATATTTTTTCTATTCTTAAAATATAATGGTGGTAACTATCAATTATCATAGTATATTATATAATAATTTTCTCAAGGCTTAATGGTATATGTATAGCTGTTTGATTTTAGTCATTTCCTTAGACATGTTATTTTTTTAACCTGCATTACAGATTTAGTGTCTTAGTTCATTTCTCAATTTCTTCTCTTTTGATTCCTCTACCCCATAATCAAATAAATCTTTTAAAAAGTCAGATCAGGAAGTTTCGGACTGTTAAGATAAAATATACAATCTGTCTATTCCTTGTCTGCCTTATCACTCTCCTCTTCCCACTCTCTCTGCTTCTTAGACCCTATGAGCTTTGACTTTTTTTTTTTAAAGTTATTCATAGTCTTCAGAGCTCTTTCCCAAATCTGAGGTGCTTTTATATACAATTTACTATTACTAGTGTAGCATTCTCCTTAATCTCTGCCTCATTAATTCCTAATAGTTGTTAGGTCTTGACATAAATATTACTTCTTAGAGGAACCTGATACCCTCTTCTTCCCATCCTCCTTCACCAATTAAAATAGTTTTTTTATCTTAAATTTTCTTGTTTTTATTATATAAAAATGATTATATATTTGTATAATTATTTATTTCTACCTTTGAATTGTAAATTCCATGATGATAATATAAACCTTATTTTTTATTTATCACAGTTTATGCAGTAAGTAGCACAGTATTGAATAACTTCTGCTTCACATCAAATATGTCATCAATTATAAAGAAAACTGCAATTTCAGTAATGTTAAGATATTAAAAAAATGGGCAATATTATTATTGGATATCATCTATCATAATATGTTCTGATCTTTGAGTTGTGAAATACAAAAAATGTAATTAAATCAATACAATATGATATAACAAGCATTCTTACATGAGAATTATGAAAAAGCCAATTTCTCATTACCTGAGATCATAAAGGCATTTAATTTTTTTGTTTGTGGTAGATTTCATTTATTTAAAAATATGAAAATGACTTTTTTGCTTAGCCGGGCAGGTAGTGAATCAGATGAATAAGAAACTGCAGACAGGTTTTACAGAACCAGAAGTGTTACAGATATTCTGTGATACCTGTGAAGCTGTTGCAAGGTTGCATCAGTGTAAGACTCCAATAATTCACCGGGATCTGAAGGTAAGAATTTTAAAATACCAAGAGTAATCTGTTCTAGACTTTGGAGTTAAAATGTTCTTGGACTGTCCTCAACTAAACTAGCCCTGCCCCCCTCACCTTTTCTTTTGCAGTGCTGGGGATGGAACCTAGGGCCTGCCTCCTCTGTGCTAGGCAAGTGCTCTACTTCTGAGCTATATCCCCAGCCCTAAACAAGGTTTTATTACTAGTACTGAGATTGGTCTCTCTGTCTCCTTACACATTTCCTGAGGTCAAGTCAAGGACCCAGCAGTRGATTTGAAATTGAGATACACATGCTCCTATTCTGCATCTCCTATTCTCAGAGTAGCCTCCTTTAAAAGGTTTCATTTGAACAAAAACATGAATGTCACTGACATACATTGAGTATCCCTCCATACTGTTCTCTTTCAGTTCAGTATTCCTCTTATTTTCTATATTCTATATTAAGCCTCAGGGTGTTTTCAAGAGTAGACTATAAATGCATCTTTTTTCCCATTTATTTGTAATTTACTATTGTTTTCTATGATTTACTATGATTTGTGGTGATTGTCCTTGAGGTCACTTTATTTTACCTTCTCTTGGACTCTTGACCCCTTATATTTGGTACTCCCTTGTTAAATTGAAAAAATAATTCTCCAAGGGAAATGAACATTCCTGGAGATATCATTTAGATAGATGATCATTAGACATGTCATTTAGAACCATAAGTGTCATCTTTGATGACAGACACAAAGATTATGAATATCACTCAGGTTCCTGAGTTAGATATGTAGCTCAATTGTAGAATGATTGCCTAGCAGGTGAGAGGCCCTGGGTTCTATCCCTAGCACTGCAAAATACAAAAACTTCCTGAAGTGTTTCATGCTTATATATTCCTATGGTTACCCTTTCCCCTCATTCAAGTATGCTCACATCAGCTCAGTGAGTTATGTGCTGAGTCTCTTTGTTTATAATTGAAGTCTAAGGCTCTTACTATCTGTTCTGCCTTTTATTAGCAATTATACTTTATAAGATTTTGTGTAATTTGCTTATGAGTTATGCTTATTATTTATTGTCTATCTTCTCCTGCTAGAATGTAACTCCTTGAAGTTAGAGCTTTTTTTTTTTTTCTTCTTCTCAGTGGTGAAACTGTGCATTTAAAACAGTGTCTGATACATAGCAGAGTCTTATCAACTGATGAGTGAATGAATCCTGATTCTGATTATACAGAATTTTATAAAAGATGGTTATAAAATGCTCTTAAGATAAAAGAGAATAGAAGATGTAACTTAGAATATAGGTTGTTAATCATGAAAGCATCATCCAAAAATACTTATGCTAATAGAAGGTAATTCAAAGCAGAATTGAAATGTATTATTTCAGACTTCTGTCCCTTAATCTGGATAATTAGTATAGCTCATCTCAGTTCTTTTGAATATGTAAATTTAATATATCYTCTACTAATTTGGTGTGGGTTTTTTTTGTGCTGTCATAACTCATTATCTTTTTGTGTACAAAACTTATAGTTTTAGTTGAGTCTTGATTTAAAATTCAGGAGACATTATTTTAGTTAATACACTTCTGATCTCCCAGTTAAGGTACAAAGTCAGGTTTGTGTTTTTCAGTGTAATATTTTAAGTAAAAACAGTACTGCAAGTTGAGCATTTCTGCTCAGAAAATCCAAAACTTGAAATGCTTCACAGTCTGAAATTTTTGGAGTGTTAACATGATGCCCCAAGTGGAAAATCATATACCTTACCACATTTGGTATACTGCAGTCAAAATTCAGGCTCATTGAAAATATTGTATAAAGTTATAGTCAGACTATATGTGTAAGATGAAACATAAATGAATTTTGTTCTTAGATCTGAGTCCCATCCCTAAGGTATCTTATTATACATATGCAAATATCCCCACCTCCACAATACAAAATCTGAGACTCTTCCACTCTTAGTCATTTTAGATAAGGGATACTCAACCTGTAGGAGTTAATTAGAGGTAGAACTTAAGTGTTTTTCATCTGCTTGTCTACAGATAGGCTGAATTTTTAAAAGAACAGAAGAAAAATTGAGGTACAGTTAAAGGCAGACTAAGGGTTTCTTGACCCCTACACAAACTATCCTGGGGTGAAGAAAGTAATTAATTGTTCTTAATAAAAGAAGTAATAGAAATAGTATATTTTTGTTCTAGTTCATTTGTCCAGATAATTTGAAGTATCTTATGTCTCATGTCTCTATATATACGTGTGTGTGCATGTGTGTGGGTGTGTGTGTAAATGAATGATACAGACCCTCCATTATGAAAGGATTGAAAAAAGATAATTTTGACTTTGAAAATACTAATTATTGATTTTCTTTTATTAAGGTAGAAAATATTTTGTTAAATGATGGTGGAAATTACGTACTTTGTGACTTTGGCAGTGCCACTAATAAATTTCTTAATCCTCAAAAGGATGGAGTTAATATAGTAGAAGAAGAAATTAAAAAGTAAGTATTTATCCTCATTATATTTTGTCTCATGTCAATTTTGGTTAACTTGAGTCTGTGACCAGTTATGTTAATGCAAACTGTAGATCTTTCATTTATAGATTTCTTCAAAAATATTTTTTTAATTAAAAAATAATTATTGGTATATTAAAATTATTATTTCTTCTTTAATTAGTTATATATGCAGCGGAATGCATTTCAATTCATTATACACAAATGGAGCACAACTCTTCATTTCTCTAGTTGTACACTATGTAGAGTCACACCACATGTGTGCAGTCATACGTATTCTTAGGGTAATGATGTTTATCTCATTCTACCACCTTTCCTTCCCATGCCCCTTCCCCTTCCCTACCTCCTCTTTGCCCAATCAAAGTTCCTCCATTTTCCCCCAAGCTGCCCGCCCCCTACCCCTTCCTGCTTATGGGTCAGCATGTCTACTTATCAGAGAGAACATTTGGCCTTTGGTTTTTTGGGATTGGCTTACTTTTCTTAGCATGATATTCTCGAATTCCATTTATTTACCTGCAAATGCCATAATTTTATTTTCTTTTAATGCTGAGTAATATTCCATTGTGTATACGTACCACAGTTGCTTTATCCATTCGTCTGTTGAAGGGTACCTAGGTTGGTCCCACAGGTTAGTATTGTGAATTGAGCTGCTGTGAACATTGATATGGCTGCATCACTATAGTATACTGATTTTAAGCCCTTTGGGGATAGACTGAGGAGTGGTGGGATAGCTGGGTCAAATGGTGGTTCCATTCCACATTTTCTAAGGAATTCCATATTGCTTTCCAGAGTGGTTGCACCAGTTTGTAGTGCCCCCTGCAATGTATGAGTGTACCTTTTTTTCCTACATCCTCGCCAATACTCATTATTGTTTATATTCTTGATAATTACCATTCTGACTGGAGTGAGATGAAATCTCAGTGTAGTTTACTGCCTGTTGGATATTTTATTTCTTGCTTTTACATTTTGAGGTATAGTTTAGGTTTACCTGAATTTTGTTGACTGATTCAAATTTTGTGATGAATGGAAAGCTCATTTGATGTTCTCATGTTTTGGGCTTAGTTGAGGATATATTAGGTCTTCAATTTAACTATTCATTTATTCAGGGCCAACACTGTTCTTGGTGCTAGGGTGTAGTAATGAACAACAAATCTGCTGTTATGCAGTTCATATTCTGGTTTCATAGGTCATTCCTCTGTGGTACTATCATTCAGACTGTCTGACCAATCAGGGTAATATGGAAAAACTAATATGGTAGAGTTTTAAGATACTTCTAAAATAAAATATATAAATGCTCAAAGTGAATCTTGTTATGATATAGGAAGTCCATATTCTGATAATTCTGCCATGAGATTTGAAATATATATATATATATATATATATACACACACACACATATACACACACACATATATATAGTACTGGGGATTGAACTCACGGGCATTAAGGGCACTGAACCACTGAGCCGTATCCCCCAGCCCTATTTTGTATTTTATTTAGAGACAGCTCACTGAGTTGCTTAGCGCCTCGCTTTTGCTGAGGCTAGCTTTGAACTCTAGATCCTCCTGCTTCAGCCTCCTTAGCCCCTGGGATTACAGGGTCCGCCTTTCATTATTTCCTTAAGGTTAATCCTAGGCTCGAATGATATTTCATTAAAGTAATCTGTTCACAGTGGATTTGGGGTTTTTATATTTGTAAACATGTGGCAGTTGGTATTAGAAGTATACATAATGTGTGTATTTAGAATTATGACAACTAGATTACTTTTAAAACAATTTTTATAAAACACTTGAACATTTACTACATATGTAAGGAATTATATTAGCATTCATATAAACAACTCCTTAAATATATAAAGTAAGTTTTTAAGAGGATAGAAGTTTTACTTTTAATATACCAGATATGGATACTACTATAGTCAAATTGTATTATTTCACATAAATTCAAGAGAAATTATTTCTAGTCCACCATCATTAAGGTTTTTATAATAAAATAAATTAGGCTTTTTGGAGATTTGTACTTGTTGAATGAAAAGTCTTTAGATGCTTTATTGTTTAATCTTTAATGGTTTTTTTTTTTTTTTTTTTTTAGAGAGAGAGAGAGAGAAATTTTTAATATTTATTTTTTAGTTCTCGGTGGACACAACATCTTTGTTTTGTATGTGGTGCTGAGGATCGAACCCAGGCCGCATGCATGCCAGGCGAGCGCGCTACCGCTTGAGCCACATCCCCAGACCCTTTAATGGGTTTTTAATAAACTTTAATAAATAGTATCATTTCTATATAATGTTACTGAGAGTAAAGGTTTTTTGTAGTATCTTATAGAGAAACAATGTATCATTATTATTTTTAATATCTCCATTTCATTTTATTTGTTTACTGCCAGGTATACGACTCTGTCATACAGAGCCCCTGAAATGATCAACCTTTATGGAGGGAAACCCATCACTACCAAGGCTGATATCTGGGTAAGGTGAAGACAGTCTGAAATTTGGTCTAACCATATATAAAATTTGATTTTAATTGACTATTTTCCTGTTGCCTCCAAAAAGGCATTACCTAAGAGCAGACAAAGCTTGTATATAAGAGAGTTTCTTACTCAGGAGAAGAAAAATACTAGAACTCTTTGATCTTCTGAATCCTCAGATGGAAAACTTATATATAAAAAAACAAAGAACTTACATATAACGTATCTGTTTATTTTTTTTTTGATTGAGTGGAAATTTTAGTTGGTCACATTACAGAAAAGCTGAAAATAACTCTTAAGTAATGACAAAATAATTTTTCAGGTTACTTTAGGATCCTTTTAATGGAAGCTGATATGAGAAACTTTTTTTCTCCAATTCTAAACATCCCCTTTTACTGTATTGAAATTATTATTGGCATTGGTGTCTAGATTACATTCATTATTGAGAAAGATTTTGTTTTTCATAGTTGAACTATAGAATTGCAACATCTCTTTAGAATTTAAACGCTATTTTAAATGTTCATTCACTTAAACTTAATGATTATTTAGTCATATTTACTTCTAAGGAGCCTATTGGGAATAGAGGAATATAATTCTTTGAAGTAGTTCTAGGAGTTATGAAAAAGGTCAGATTTAATTTGTTTTTAAAACATGTTCATAAAGTAGTCAATTGTAATGTGCGAAATCAAATTGTTATCTTCTGAATTTTTCTTCCCTGTTCTCTCCCTATTGGGATTCGAGTACCAAGCAAAATCTTAAGGGTTAGGTATTATTAGAAGGTAATAAAAAATCATTGATATCTTTTAATTTGTTTATGTAACATATACATTATCACTCAACAGTTAACTCTTGTGATTGTTGAATTTTAAGATATATATATCTTAAAATTCAAGTAAAATTGCAAGTAAGTTCTTTTTAGTTAATGTAACGGTATACTGGCATATATAATTCAAATTTGATTTGCTTTCCCTAGGATTAACATTTGACTCATTGGATGGCTTATATTAAAACTGAGGTTTATGTATAAGGTAGAAAGTAAATTAAATTGAATCTTAATTTATATAATGAAAATATTATAAGAGRTGATTGGTATACTCATTTTTTTGGCATACTTTTGTGACTGTTCAATTTCACGTTATCTGAAAAAAGTATTTTGACAGCAGTTAAACAATAGGCATCATAACTCCTATATTGAAACCATTCTTGGTTATTAAAACAAAAATATTGTTCTCCTAGCACACAATTATTATCCAGTATTTTGACACGAAGGAGGAATCCTTGTTTTGTGGTTACTTATTTTTTTGTTAAGACTTAATGCACATTTTTAATACACATTTTTAATACACTTTTGTTAAGACTTAATACATATACAAATAAAAACAAACATGAAAAATAATAAGAAAATAGTATCTATGGTCATATGATTGAAAAATTTAGAATTTTAATTTCCATGATGAGATGACTTTTTATGGTTACCTTACTTAGCTCAGGTTGAACTGAAATATGCTACATTTTAGGTGTAAAAATATTTAATTAGGTGTGAAATAGTATTTAGGTGTGAAAAAATATTCAATTTATATTGGTTAAGAATTATATTTCTTATACTACTTCAGGATAGTGCTGACTCAGATAATTATAATGTCAGGTTAAAGTATTAACTTAGCATGTCGTATTTTGCAAAAAATTTCCTTGGAAGTTTTCATTGTAGGTTATTTTTATTTTGAAATCTTGAATGCTGATTTTATTAAGTGTTAGAAAATTCAGTTAGAGATCCTTCATGTACCTATTAATGTAGAAACTGAAGATGGTGGTCTGCCTTCAAAATTAGGTTTCTTGTTCCCTCCCTTTTCTTTTATAATTCTCATTGTATTAAATGGAAAGAAATGGAAATATCTTTGGTGTCAAACAGTTAGAATACCTCATTGTGTTCATGCTTTACAAAGCAAGTGTTCAGGTTCACATTTGTAAATTATACTAGCATTGCCAAGGTATCTGGTATTCTCAGCAATGTGTGTTCTAATATACATGAGAATTGCTAAAGATTTTATTGACATGATAAAACTCTGAAGTATAGATATCCTTTGCCTTGACCATCATCTGGACAGTGGAAAGAAGATATAATTTAATGCAGATTCTACCCCTTAATACTATTTTCTTTTTTAGTGCTATTAAGGAAGTCTTATTTTTGGTTTTCTATGTACTTTTTAAACTGTCTACCTTATGGATAAATAAAAAACCAAAATAAATCTTCTTTAAGAATATTGAACTAATTATTTCTATTTAGAAATCTTTACACTTTTGTGAGTCATACAATAACTCAGTAATGTTTTGAACCAATATGTTGAAATTTCTTTTTTTCCACATTTTTTATTGGTGCATTATAGTTGTACATAATGATGGGATTTGTTGTTACATATTCATACATGCACACAGTATAACAATGAAATTTGGCTAATATCACTCATCAACACTTTCCCCTCCCTTCCCACCTGTCATCCTTTAGTCCCTTTTCTTTACTGATTTCCCTTTGATTTTCATGAGATCCATCTCTACCTTTCTTTTCCTTTTTCCTCTTTAGCTTCCACATATGAGAGAAGACACATGAACCTTCATGTTTTGAGTTTGACTTATTTCACTTAACATAATGGTCTCTAGTTCCATTTATTTTCCTGCAAATGAAATGACATAATTTTATTTTTTATTGTGACTAAACAAAACTCCATTGTATATGTATACCACATATTCTTTATTCATTCTTCCATTAATGGACACCTAGACTGGTTCCATAGTTTGGCTATTGTGAATTAACACTGTTGCTGTAAACATGGATATGCATGTATCACTGTGGTATGATGACTTTAATTCTTTAGGACGACAAGTAGTATAGTTGGGTCATATGGTGGTTCCATGCCTAGTCTTTTGAGGAACTGCCAAATTGATTTCCATAGTGGTTGTTAGTACAATCCCACCAATAGTGTAAAAGTATTTATTTTTTCTCTACATCCTTTCTAGTCTTTATTATTATTTGTATAATTCTTGTTTAATATGAACACAATATCTTTATTTTACCTATTTATTTATTTATTTAATGTGGTGCTGAGGATTGAACCCAGTACCTTACAAGTATGAGGCAAGCGCTCTACCTCTGAGCTATAACCCCAGCTCCATTTTATATAATTCTTGATAACTGCCATTCTGACTGGTATGAGATAAATCTCAGTATAGTTTTGATTTGGTTTTTCTTAATTGCTACTGATATTGAACATTTTTTCATGTAATTGCCATTAGTATTTATTCTTTTGGGAAGAAAAAGAAATTCATTTGTCTTAATTGGATTATTTGATAGTTTTTAGTGTTAAACTTTTTTGAGTTTTTTATATATTCTAGATATTAGTACTCTGTCAGAAGAATAGTTAGCAAAGATTTTCTCCCATTCTATAGGTTCTCTCTTCACATTCCTAATTGTTTTCTTTGCTGTGCAGAAGGTGTTTAACTTGATGTCATCCACTTATTAACTCTTGATATTATTTCCTGATCTTTAGGGGTCTCTTTTTTCCTTCTCTTACCTAATTGTTCTGGCTAGAATTTTTAGCAGTATATTAAATAGAAGTGATGAGAGTGGACATCTTTGTATTGTCACAGATTTTAAAGTAAATACTTTCAGTTTTTTCCCATTTACTGTGAGGTTGACTTTGGGCATTTATGATGGGCATTTATATAGGCTTTATGATGTTGAGGTATATTTCTTCAATCCCTAGTTTCTTCAGTATGTTTATCATGAATGGGTGCTAAATTTTATTAAAGGCCTTTGCATTAAACTTATTATATTTATTGATTAGCGTAGATTAAACCATCCTTACATCTTTGGAATAAAACCAACTTGATCATGGTGTATAATCTTAATATGTTGTTGAACATGATTTACTAATATTAAGTATTTTTGCGTCTAAGTTCATCAGGGATGTTGTTCTGTAGTTTTCTGTCCTTGATATGTCCTTATCTGGTTTTGATATGAGTAAGATACTGGCTTCATAGAATGAATGTGGAAGTGTTCCATCCCTTTCTATTTCATGGAATAATTTGAGGAGTATTCACATTAGTTCTTCTTTAAAGGTTTTGTAGAATTCTGCTGAAAATCTGTCTGGTCCTGGACTTTGATTTGTTGGAAGGGTTTTTATTACTGCTCTATCTCATTATGAGTTATTGGTCTGTTTAGGTTTTCTATGTCCTCTTGATTTAGTTTTGGCAGATTGTATTCATCTAGAAAAATATCCATTTCTTCTAGGTTTTCAATGATCTTCTGGATTTCTGTGAGGTTGTGGTGTTTTCCTTTTTTATTTCTAATTTTATTAATTTGGGTTTTTTTCTCTTATGTTTTGGTTAGTTTGGCTAAGGGCTTATCAATCTTATTTTCAAAGAACCAATTCTTTGTTTCATTGATGCTTTGTCTTGTTTTTTTTTTATTCTCAGGTTAATTGATTTGCCTTTGATTTAATTATTTCCTTTTACTAGTTTTGGAATTGGTTCTTCTCTTTTAAGGGACTTTGAGATATATCAGTAGGATATCAGTAGGTTCACATTTTCTTAAGTAGGTACTCATAGCTATAAACTTTCCTCTTGGAATTGCCTTCATTGTGTCATATGTTTTATCACTATTCTTATTTGAGTCTAAGGAGTTTTTTAATTTTTAGTTTTGTTGTGTTGATTTCTAATTTATTCCATTGTGATCTGTTAAGATGCAAGGAATTATATTAATTTTTTTTGTATTTGGTAAGAATTGCTTTGTGGCCTAAAATATGTTGAACCAATATATTGAAATTTCTAGAGCTTTTAACCTTTTTTTCATTAGAATACTGTTGGTATAGTGAAAATGTTTTATAAATTAATATTGTTAAACTCAAAAGGTGTTTCTATATAATGCCATCTTCATAGCAGTTATAATAATTTGTATACTTGTTGCTTAGTTTGTGCTTTTTTAGGTAAATATGTGGGGGGGGGGAATCCAACAAAGGGAATCTTATTTGCTACTTTATAGATATAAGGCCAGATTTATACAATTAGCTTAGAATTGGAAATGCCCCTTTCATTCTTAAGGCTTGGAGGTGACACTTTTTATGATGGTTATGATTTTTGGAACCATTAATCTTTTTTCTTTTTAAAATATTTCTCAGGTTTGAGAGGAGCTGCTGTTCTATTCACAATTTGTGTTTTAATTTTGCCTTTATTGTCAGTAAATAGATTCGTTGGTCTGGTGATATTTGTGAACTCTTGCCAGCTATGCAGACATAATCATTTGTTTTTAATATTGCAAATATAATTGGTATAAGATTCAATAAACTACTCAGAAATATAGATCTAATTTCTATAGTATGAAATAATGACATAGGTACCTAGTAAATAATAAAATTAATTGATGACTGTTAAGTTTGCAGTGGCTAACATGTATTTGGAATCCTAAGACTTAAAATTCTGTTTTATAGTGAATTTTAAAAAAAGGTTTCTGTTAGAGCTTTGTGCTTACTTTCTTGGTTATAGCTGTAGTTATATATATATTTCCTTGTGGAAGAAACAGTAGATTTAATATTAAAAGTGTATGTTTTTTTCCAAAAAAGGAATTGGCCACGTCAAATTTTAGTTATATCATTCATGATCTAGAGCAGTTTAACCAATTTGTCACAGGTGTAAAAGAAAAGCATGGAGATGATTAAGTTAAATGTCTTTTAAAAAGTCGAATGCATTAACTTGTTTAAGCAATAATTTGTGGAAAGATTGATTCAATATGGAAGCATTAGAGTTCTTATTTTTAAAATAACATTCAATATTTGGTTTTGAGCAGTTTTAATATTTTGTGGTTGATAATTGAGCTGTGATAATGTTCATGCTTCTTTTTTTTGCAGGCCCTGGGATGTTTACTATATAAACTTTGTTTCTTCACTCTTCCTTTTGGTGATAGTCAGGTTGCTATCTGTGATGGCAGCTTTACCATCCCAGATAATTCTCGCTACTCCCACAACATACATTGCTTAATAAGTAAGTACTTGGAAAAATATGTGAAAAAATTTTTATTTTTTTTTTTAGTATCCTGTTATTTACATACTTTTGCTTAAACCTTGCCTATTAATTTCATGTGTTTTAATTTTGTGAAACTGTAGTAAAGAAAAAGTACCTAAAATATGTTAATATGACTTTTATAGGAATGAAAGCAGAATAACTATTGATTAATATGAGGATATATTTTTAAGCCCATAGGTAAGGTTTTAGTAGCATACAGCAGAAATTATATGATTAAGGCAATTGGAATTTTGGGGAGCACTTACATTTGTTTAGTTTCTATACTTTATAAATACCTATACTTTATTAATGTATAGGTAAATACAAAGCAACCAAGGAATATCAGAAAGGTGCAGGCCTTCCATTCCAAAAGAATACTTCAGTTTTTTTCTAGCTGCTTTTAAGATTTTTTTCCTTCCCTTTAGATAGATATTATTTTTTAACATTTAATATATGTACATGGTAAAAATTTGGGAAAAGATACTGTAAGGGGGGGAAAACCATCAATCAAATATTAAAATATATTAGGAACCAGCAAAATTTAAGCAGCACCTGTTCTCACTGATTTAAAGTGTTTTAGCATTTCTGCATTTTAAATACCCCTGTTGTAGCTTCTAGCTCAGTGGCAGAAAAAAAAAAAAGGTCAATTTAAACATATTTGATGTTTGCGTGATACAGGTAGAGTTCAATTCAGTGAAAAAAAATATGTGGGAATAGAAAAATTTGTTAGCCATTTTTGGATAAAAAATAAAGCTGTATCTATACCTAATTTTTAAAGCTAAAATTTTATGCCAAAGACTTATGTATAAAAAAATAAAACAAATATTCTTATAAAAATAGGTGGGAAATTTATTTATAAGATTAGAATTTGCAACTAGTATACCAGGTAATCAATCCCTTAGGAACTATAAAACACTAATCCACATTATCAGACTCATGAACACCAGCATAGAGTTAAATGATAAACTGCAAATAATATTTGTTACTAATGATAAATGATTGACAGATGTTATTATAATTCAAGAAGAAAAGAGTAGCCTGATGTGGTAGCATACCTGTGATCCCAAGTACTTGGGAAACCAAGACAGGAGGATTGGGTGTTAAAGCACAGTCTTAAACAATTTAGTAAGACCCTGTGTTAAAACAAAAAATAAAAGAGAGGGGGTATATAGTTCAGTGACAAAGTACCCTGGGTTCAGTCCTCAGTACCAGGGAGTTAAAAAAAAAAAAAAATTTAGAAGAAAAAGGAACATAAGAAAAACTCTAGTCTAACTTTGCAAATGTATTTAAAACAGTCGTTCATTTCTGTAATGTGATCATTTTTATATGTGTTGGAAATTGGAGAATTATGTCAGTTTAATTCAAAAATTACTTTGTGTCACATGAAATGTTTTTTCTAGGCAAAGGGAACCCGAATAATGGAGTGAGAAAGGAAGTTTAACTTTCAGAGGAAAGGAAATAGCTAAAGCTTGGTGGCTGCATTGCTGGCATGAATATTTTTGCTCTGTTTGGAGAACATTAAATATGAGTGCTTATACTTGCATTTTTTCCCCCAGAGAATTCTATCTTTGTTTTATGTGACTCTCTACATCTGAATGACCACCTACTTAATAGCCTCAAGGCTTTGCTTTCATGTTCACTGGTTGAGCACCTGTCAGCATTGTTTTGTTGTGCTTTATGTGCTTGAGGCAGCCTCCAACCAAGTTGAGTACTTGTCTGTGCATTATAAATTACCTTCATGGGTACCATTTAATAGTTTTTGTCAGCCCTTTAGTGTCAGAGTTAAATAGTTTTTAAATAGCCCACCCCAATTGTTTTTCCCATGAGTCCTGTTTTTGGCATGCCATTTTGCAAAACGTGAATGTCTTTTATAAAACATTCCTTTAGAGTAAAACATACCTTTAGAATACATTTAAATAAACATTAGATCCTTAACCTTCCCTATCTCATCTAGTTACTTTTTTACTTTTTGTCCAAAGTTTAAAGCATCAAAAGCATTTGAGAAATTTAATTATTGCGTGCCCTGACTATTTACTTTTTTGTAAATAGTTTTAGCCATTATGTTTTAGTAATAGTTGAATTTAAGATGTTTAGTGGGAATCTCTGAATGTTCCCATAGAATAAAATTGTACGAGACTGGCAGTTTATACACTGATACATAATTTATTACTAAAATCTTATTATAGCATATTTGCCCCCTCCCCATATATATGTGTGTGGGTATGTGCTTATGTAATGGGAAGGTGAACAAGATAAATATTATTGATAATTTTAGGCTGTAATTGGAATTTAGTGAATTGATACTTTGTATCAGATACTTCATTATCAGTAAGTATGCAGATTTTAATTTTATCATTTCTAGTACAAATTTGTGCCCAAAGTGAAAAGGGTTGAATAAAATAAAAGCATCCAAGTCAATCTGGAATAATAATATCCCAATATATTACCTCCTGTTAATGGGATTTTATGGATTTTATTTTTAAAATATTTTCTTGAGTAATAAAAGCTTTGTAGAGATTTTTAAAACCTCTATATAGTTATCTACAGTATAGTCTTTTTAAGAAAATACTTGAGCTCTTTGCAATTCTGTTTTTTTACTTGTTTCTCATGTAGCTTTGCCTATCTCCCACCATCCTATTTAGTAATCTTTGTGTTTATAATATGCCATTAGCTATGTATTCAGAAAACCAAGAATATTGCATAGCTGTGCCCATAGTTTCTGCAAGTAAAACTGTTAATTGTCTAATGTCTAGTCATGTAATATAATTGTTCTCACATATTAAGAGAAAGCATAAGAAGACATATAACCTTTTAGTATTAGTGATAGATCTAATGATGTTTACATCCATTTTATATGACTCAACATTTTTCAGAATGAAATAGCCATGACAAATCTTGGTTAAAACTTATGGTTTGTGGTTACATAGGCTTCTTCTTCTTTTTTTTTTTAAGATATATTTTTTTAGTTGTTGCTGGATCTTTATTTTATTCATTTATTTAAATGCAGTATTGAGAATTGAACCCAGTGCCTCACACATGTGAGGAAAACACTCTATTGCAGAGCCACAACTCCACCCATGTAGGCTTTTGAATATACTTTTGATATAATCTAGGCAGTAATCTGGCTAAAGGCGTTATTCTTGTTACCTGTTGTCCATAAAGCTTAATTTAACTTAATTTCCTAGCAGACTTTTTTTTTCTTAAAAGTAGCAGAGTCAATCAATTATTTATAGTGTTTTTTTCCTTAGGTTATGTTGACTTTCCCAATAGATAAATAATGGGATTGCCATGAGGGGTGAGAAGTACTTTCCATTTCTGGATCTAAGAATTGAAAAGATCTTAGAGAACATTTAGAGGAGAATGAAAAGCACAACTCAGAGGATTACTGACTAGTTTTGAAGGGTAAACAGAAGGCCAACCTTATATTTCTTTTAGCTCCTCTGTTGTAAGATGGTTAAAGAATACATTGTGAAGATTAAGAGGAAGGCTTGTAGAACCAAATAGCCTCAATTTGCATCTCCTCTGTCACTTGTTTGGTATGGAATATTGGACATCTCCATTTATCTCAGTCTCCTTTTTCTAAAACGAGTGTATTAAAAATATGTATGTCTTAGAATTATTGTGAAAATTAAGTGAATTATGAAAAGTGCTTCTTAGTATGTGTAAGTAATTAGTAAAAATATAGCCTTTAATAAAACCATCATCAGTGAATATTGTGGGTTAATGGTGAATCTATCAAAGGTTTAGTATAAATTGTCATGCATTCCAGAATATACTGTTAAAATATAACTATTAAAATTATTTTTCTCACCTCTTCATTTTATGCAATGATGTAGTGATTTATAATGAACATCAGGGAGAAACTTTGTTTGTCTTGCTTTTGGTTCTGTTCACTTACTGCTTTATAGTTTCCTTTTTCTCTTTTCTATTGGCCATTATAATTATAAATATTGTGGGATTTGTTGTTACATATTTGTACATGCACATAACATAATTTGGTCAATTTATTTCCCCCATTTGCTTTATGATTTTTTATTTTAGCTTTTAGCAGTACATCTATTGGGGTTGTATTTATTTTAGTACCTATTTTGTGGGATACCAGGATTTTGCTAGTTTTCACATGCTTAAATTTATTATGGGAATTTAAAATATATAAACAAGTATTGATAGGACAGTGCAATAAGTCTTTATTTTACCTGTCATTCAGCTTCAGTGATTTATCAAATCATGGCCAGTCTTGTTTTATATACACCCTCATCCATTTTCCTATATTATTTAAAAACAAAAAGACATTTTAATGTACTTGAAACATAAAGATAAGGTTTTCATGGAGGTTTTCAATCATTGGCACTAGGATTACTACTTGGGGAGTTGTAGAGGAAGGGTTTTGATCAATAACATCTAAGGGACAGCTACCACTACTATCCCAAATATACTGTCTTGGAATTATTTGTAGCACCACTTAGTGTCTTGTTTATGATCAGATGTATTTATTATCAGCTGTTAAACATAGTCTCATTTCAGTAGTATATAAAATAAGTTATGTAGATAACATATAAGTTTCTATAATAATCTCCATAGGTTAACAGATAAATATAGTAAGTTAATGCTGAAAATATTTATAGTTGCAAAATAGTTGTATTTTTATGGTTGCAGAGTATATGCTTTTCAGAAAAATTTAAAAAGAATAGACTGTGTGTTTTTCTTTTCAGGTAAATTATAGTCAGTATAATAAGAAACTGTGGGTTAGGGAAAAGTGCCCTTATGGAAGGAAAAAATTCAGAAACTTTTAAGCAGGAAAGTGCTTTTGAGACTTATAACCAAAGTATTTTTCCTTTAAATTTGTTGAGCTGTTGGACTAGAGATGCTAGTTTATCTTTGATCAGAACTAGGCATGGATCCATTGCTTCATGTAACTTGAATTGTAACTACTTCATCTTTGGCTTGGATCCTTGATTAAAACATAGCTTGGCTGCTGCTACAGCAGCAGCAGTTCCTTTAGCTGCTGTTTTTGTTGGAATGCACAGGGATGTTGTACTTTTCTATGCAATATTAGTATAAACATAATTCATTTGCTGCAAATAAGTGTTTTTTAATAGGATATGTATGATAATATCAGTGGGAAATATTGTGGTGGTTTAATCATATTATGGTCAATGCTAAGACTGTTTTGTGTTGTATTAGTAGTGTTTATGTCAATAGAAAGAATCACAATATTAAGATGAACAGAGAACTATTTCATATCTATGTAGCCAAGTTTTAAAAAAGTTGATTTTATATTTGTAATAGAGTCAGTGGTAATTGGTCTTGTAATGATTTACATGATCATTTTAAGTTGAGTAAACAAGGTATTTTCTACATTCTCTGCTATTTTTGTTTTATTTTTAAATGTAATCCAGTTTTGCTTTTAGATAAACTGAGCATATATGTTCGTTAATGCATTCCTTCTTTGTAAATATATTTCTTGTAAATGATATGGTTTAATTGCCATCAAATAGGAGTTCAAAAAACACTAGACTTGAGGTTTAATTATTATGAGAGAAAACAGTTTTGGACAAAGTATTTGAAAATTGAAGCTCTCACTCTTGATAGATATGCCCCATTGTTTAGCTGGATTAGAGCTTATATCTCTGCATTTTTAGATTATATCATTCGGTGATCTAGTGGTACATTTTATTTTTCTCTTGAAAGAGTTCAAGAAATTATATTTAAATACTAAGTGATGGCTTATTTTTTTTTAAATGGCTAGCACTACTCAACTTAAAAATATTTAGAGATAAAAATGTAGCTATTTTACCTGGGTGTTGCAGGAATGATTATTAGTGTTTTCATACTTTTATTTTTGGTACTGGGAAGTGAACCCCCAAGGGTTCTTAACTACTGAGCCAAATCCCAGCCCTATTTATTTTTTTAAATTTTGAAACAGGGTCTCACTAAGTTGCTTAGGGCCTTGCTAAGTTGCTGAGGCTGGCTTTGAACTTGTGATCCTTTTGCCTCAGCCTCCCAAGTCACTGAAATTAAAATTGTGTGCCATATACGAAGCTCATAATTTTGAATTTAGAATCAAATCAGAGATAGGCACAGGATTTCATCAGCTAAAACTGTCAACTTTAGTACAGGTTGAATATCCCTTTTTTGAAAATCCAAAATCTGAAAGATTTGACTTGGTGTCACTGTGGTAAATTCCATACCAACTCATGTCACCAGTTGCAGTCAAAATGCAGGTTTTGTAAAAGTATAAAATTTTCTTAAGGAGACACACACACACACACACACACACACACACACACACACACACATTCGTTACGAAACACAGGAGAATTTTTGTGTTTAGACTTGGGTCCCATTCCTGAGATGGTTCCTGGTATGTGTGTAAATATTCTAAAATACAAAAACTGAAAAATCAGAAACACTGCTTCCAAGCATTTCAGATAATGAGTTTCAACCTGGATTGATTAAAGTAGATTGCAGGGAAAAAAATCTGTATCTAAAGCCAGATGGGCTTGTTCTGCACCCAACCCCTAGATTTACCTGCACTCAGATATAGGCAATGCTGTAAAGACACAGATTCTTCCATAGAGGCAAGGCACTTTCAAAACATAATTTAGAAGAGAGCATGTATGTTCTGAGAATATCCTCATGTGAAAGAAGGAGTATCAGAGATTAGCATTTAATTCTTTTTTTGTAGTGTAATTACACAAGTCATTATATTTTCCGTAGGGAAATGAGTTATAATAGTAGAGAGAACTCATAATCCTAAATTCAAAGTTTTGTGGTTTCAAACTTTTTTTGACTGATCCAATGTAAAAAAACAGATGAGCTGAATCAAGTTTCATGAAATGTTGCTTGTACTCGGCACACTAATGTACCCTAATATTTTCTGTCTTAATTCATTAGATACTACAGAATTTATGTCACATAAATGGGATCAGTATAGTTAAAAAAAAGTGGCTCAAGCAGATGTGTATTCCCACATCAAAACATGAGTCCTGAGAATTGGAGGTCCTTTTATTTGCTTATAAGATAATCTTTGTTCTATCTCCACTCTAGTCTGGCTATCTAATCTTTAAAGGATATGATATTGTGCTTAACTTTAAAGATAGAAGTACTTATACCAGTATTGGTTAGAACATAAAATCTCAAATTTATTCTTTCTCCTCAATATTTCTCATCTATTGTGAAAGAAAAAAAAAATACAGGATTACCTAAAGGACCATTCTTTTTCTCCAGATACTTAAAAAGTTTTTCTTGGATTTAGCCAGATCCCCAGGGAAGTGTATTCCTATATCAGTTTTCTACCCTTGTAGAATTTCTTAGGTGTTAAGCCACTAGACCACACTGGAAGAGTGTGTAACCAAATGTCACTCATTGCAGTTCATTAAGGATGTTGTTCATTCTTTGTGATCATCTTAAGAATTTTGACTTGAAGGAGAATTTGCTCTTTTGTGTTAGGAATACTGTTTTTCTTTATTATCTGTTTTTGTTTTTTTTTGTGTGTGTGTGTGTTAGGGATACTGATTCATGTAATAGATTATGTTGCCCTTTTATATAGTGAAAATTTTGAGCCTACATTTTCTTTGCTGACCTCATTATGCTGTCCCTCTCATCTCTCCCCAGTGAATTACTTTTCTATTAGCCCTAATTTTCTTGTATATGTAAAAAATTTTATATCCTATACGCTACTTCAAGTTTTTATAGAAATAAATATTTATAATTAGCTATTGTTAAAACTAAACTTTAAAAGCCAAATTAACTTGTTAGAATAGAAAAATAAGATTATATTATTATAAATTTGATAGTTTTTGTGATTTGGTTGTTTTTAAAAATTATATTAATCAACATTTATTGTTAAAAGTATGTTTAGCTTTATTTTACATAATTAAATTAACTTTATGCACTGTTGCTTTTAAAACAATATTTTTGGGTATTAATATAAAATGCATTTGGAGAATAAATAAACCTTGTAAATCCCTCAGATCTTTTTGGTATGAGGTTGACTATAAACTACCAAGTATTTGAATTAAAATGTTTTTAGTTATTTCAATCTAACAATGGCGATATATCATAAAGGATAAGTTTCATCAGTAGTATGTCAGCATTTTAATTACATAAAATCGTATTCTATTTAGAGCTTTTTAATTTTTAATTTTCTTTTCTTTTTCTTTCTTTTTTTTTTTTTGTGCAGGAGCCATGCTAACATTCTCTGTATTGTTCCAATTTTAGTATATATACTGCTGAAGCAAGCACAGCTTTTGTATTTTTTAGACCAGCCTCAAAATTTCTGAAATAAATTTTCAAGTTTTGAGTTCAATGTCACTTGCCATACAACTGTATTTTTTCGTTTAGCTGAAATAAGTGTATCATGTTGGAGATACATTATAATTTTTGTTGAAAATATTATATTTGAAGGGAAAATTTAATTATTGTAAGTTGTTATTTAAGTGATTTATATACTTAGATCTCTTTATACATTATCAACATGTTTCAAAATATCTAAATGCCTTAAGTTTTACATTTTAAATACTTAAAAAATGATCTAAACATTCTAAAAACTGAGAATTATTTAATGAAACAGGTTTAGTTGTAAAAATGTCTTAATAAAATATGAATTTTTCAGTTGTAGAATTGAATAAAAATGTCAACCTTATTGTGAAATTTGGAATTAAAATTAATTCAAGAAATGGACAAGAGATAGTGACCATTTTAGTTAGAGAAAAGGTCTCTGATATTTCAAACATTGCCTAAAGTTAATAAATAATTTGTGATAAAACCATAAGACTCTGTTCATATTTCTGAACATGATGTAGATAGCATGTTTAAATACAGAACTCTAGTGATCATTGTTAGTATATATAAAAAGCATGTTTTTGGAAAACTATAGTGTCAACCCTGTGCTACTTAAATGTACACAATGTAACGTTTCTCAATGATTTAGGATTATGTCAAGGTAGAGGAATTTTAGATAATAATGAGAATTATTTCAAGTGGAATTATTTTGGAAGCCTCATCTTCCCTTTACCTCCATGTCCCTGGAATTTATCTTGAATAATTCTCCAATGTTAATTTACGTTGTGTGTTACTTTCTCAACAGAATGATTATGTATGTCATTCATACTTCTGGTAAATAGTTGTTCAATGACTTCTCTAATCTATCTTTTAGTTTGGAATAATGTTTTTAAGTTCACATACAAAATAGCAATCTGTCTGTTTCCTATAAACATTAACAAAGTTTGCTAGAATCATCCCTGTTCTTAGAATGGAACAGAATTATACTTATAATATGCCCCTAAGTATCATCTATATTCAGTAAAATTTAACATTTTGATATATTCTTACAGGGTTCATGCTTGAACCAGATCCAGAGCATAGACCTGATATATTTCAAGTGTCCTATTTTGCATTTAAATTTGCCAAAAAGGATTGTCCGATCTCCAATATCAATGTAAGTAGTTTCTAAAGTAGGATATGAATTGAAAATACATTTTATCATGTGTGTAGATACGTGTGTTTGTGTATGTGTGTGTATACACTTTGAGTACTTGTTTTATGACAAGTGATCTGCTAGTGTGTTTGTGAGTATAGTTTTTGTATAAAGTCACATTTCTGAAACTATGTCCTGAGGTGTCCTGGAGAACTGCAGCAAACTCAAGAGGATATTTTGCATTTTCAAGGGAACACAATGACATTTGTCTGACATAGCACAGACTTCTTTTATCAAGTTGTTTAAGCTTAACCATTTAATAAACAGACACTAAGTGCTCTCTTAAAGACAAAAATTTGGGAAAGTTGGTTGTGAAAAATAGATGCATGGTAAACGGAGAGACCTGAATTCAATTCTGTTGTTTTTTGGGGGAGGTTACCTAATGTACATTTTTTTTTCGTCTGTAAAGCAAGATAGTAATTACAAAGATTACAACTAATGTAAAACCTAGTGCTGAGTCCATGGAAAGAGCTTATATGGAAATAGCGCATATCGTTTGAAGTTTTATTCACTATGTGCACACTACATTAACTTCAGATAAATGATGTATGACAAGTCTCTGGTAATTTTAATAAGGTTGCTAGTTGTTACTGATTTTAAGCCGTTTTCAACTTTATAAAGAACATTCTGGCCTGATTTGCTTGTACATGTTTCCCTTATGTATAATTTAATCTACTTATGAAGAAAAAGGAAGGAATGTGGTACCTTTCCTTTTTTGTTTTTTAAGGCCCTTAATGTATCAAACGTAATGTTTTCTATGTTGAAGCTGAAATCATGCAGTTCTAACATTCAATAAAGAAAATAGTTTTATTTGAAATTTTACTATGGATTTTTAGCTCTCCATTCATCTAATATTTACTGATTTCTGTTATGATCCAAACATGGGGCGTAAACACTAGTGAAGCCTTCTGTCTTCATTTTCTAGATCTTATGCTGAGTGTCATGAAAATTATCTGTAGTATTTGTAAACACTTTTTTATACTTATTTACTTCTTTTTCTTTTTTTAAAATTTTTTATTTATATATAACAGTGGAGTGCATTATAATTCTTATTACATATATAGAGCACAACTTTTCATATCTCTGGTTGTATACATAGTGTATTCACACCAATTCGTGTCTTCATACATGTACTTTGAATAATAATGATCATCACATTCAACCATCATTAATTACCCCATGCCCCCTCCCTTCCCCTATATACTTCTTTTTCTGAAGTACAAAATAATCTTTGATTTATAATCTTTGTAGTATAATCTTTATTTTTACCCAAATGACATTTGTATAACATGTAGTGATATTTGCAGATTATATCTGGGAAATATAATGTGGTTAATTTGGGACGTGAAAATAAATGGTATCTCATACAAAGTATTTTGTATTGTTTTGTTTTGTTTTTGAGATACTGGGGATTAAACCCAGGGCCTTAGCTGATAGGCAAGTGCTCTACCACTAAGCTACATCCCAGCCCTCACAAACAGCATAAGTTCAATAATATGTCCATAGCTTAAAAAACAAACTTGTTAAAATTAAAAACCAAAATGAAAATTTTTGTTTTTGTTTTTTTCTTTCAAGAACTCTTCTGTTCCTTCAGCTCTTCCTGAACCATTGACCGCTAGTGAAGCAGCTGCTAGAAAAAGCCAAACAAAAGCCAGGTAGGCAAAACTATGTTTGCTGAAATGAAAAAGGCATTTTGGTGGGGGTGGGGGAAGCTACAGTTCTTATTTAAATTTTAGCCAATGTCATTGATTAAATGTCATCCTCCCACAAACCCACAAAAAAAAGGGCGTGTTACTTATTGCATGTGGTGTAGATAACAAGTACAAAATAAGGTTTAAAATATTATGTCCAGGATTTGATATCGCTCTTACCTGAACTGTCCACTCTCATTAATAAATATGTGAATTCTTAACTGATGATGCTACAGTGGGTCTTTTTTGCGGGGGATGGGTGGTGAGATCATTATCTTCATAACATGGCAACCCTAATTTAGGACATTTTATGTTTCAAGTTTGTAGCTAATATGCTTTTTAAAATACTTAAATATAAAATTTATAGGCAACTAGAAAATATATGTATTTTGTAGAATTTATAGTGGGTGGTTATAACTGTTAACATGTTGTAAAACTGTTAAAGTATTATGTTTTGAAATGTATTTTTAAGTTGTTTACTGCATTTATAAGTTTAAAATATATTGTGTAGATTAAGAGCTGAAACTGTTAGTGATGATATTTTCTCTGCTTTTTATTTTAACTTAAAAGTTAATAAGCAGGACTATCTCTTAGGTTATCAGACAGGTATAATATTGCATTTGGGGAGTTTTCTTAGTCATAGCTTTTTGTATTGTTCTCACTTAGTTAAATTATTTGACATAAAATACAAAAATATATTTGTTAAATATTCTTTACATAAAAGGCATAGATATTGGAAATGTAAAGAAAAATAAGCAGTTTTTATTTCCAAGAATTTCTAATTGTAAACAGTTAGTTGTAAACTGATGGATAGCAGAACATTCTGAGAGTAGGGAGGAAGGGAAAGACTGGGAGCTGGGAGAATAAGAGCACAAAAGGAATGCTTTCCCTGGGGGTGGGCCTTTCCTAGAAGAATGAGTAGTCAGTCACCTGAAGGGGTGAGAGTGCAAATAAAACAGACAATTGAGGCTAGAAGAATGGCTCTTATGACACTACAAGGATGGAGAATAAGAGAACAGATTCAGGAGTGGTGGGGAATGAATAAATTGGTAGGTAAATGTCAGTCATAAGCAACTTTGTTTATATGTCATGGCTGAGAATTTTGGATTTTGGCCTTTCATCCTCCAGTCAACTCTGTTGTTTGGCACTTGGTTGTAAGATAGGTTGTGTGATTTGTTACTTAGAAATGTCCAAGTATCATTCATGAATGGCTTTTTTTTAAAAAAAATATGGCAACCTAAAAATATATTCACTCATTTGAATTTCAAAATATTCTCTGGAGGGAGATGAAGAAATGAATATAGCTAATTCATAGAAATCCAGTATGACCACCAGTTTGTCTTATCTATAATGTAGCGTTAATGAGCAGCCATTGTTATAGTTGAGTGGTAATTATGAATTAAGACTGGTCAGTTGGATTTTATTGTCACTTAAAAAATTTAATTATTAATTATTAATTTAATAATTAAATTAAGAAAATATCAATAATTAAATCCTTAGGAAGGTAGGTACAAATTTTTAAAGAAACGAGTCAAATGAAGAGTGATGATTTGAATATCTTTTCATTATGACATAAAAGTTATAGCTATATTACAAGCAAATGAAATAATGCCATTAAAATGTGCAGTATTTAACCTGTTTAAACATTATGCAATGTATACACATATTGAAACATAACATGGTAATCCATTAAAATATATTTTTATGTCTACATATCATTTAAAAATTGCTGTTTATTTATAGTATGGTGAATCTGTTCATTATACATATCAAAATATAAGGTTCATTGGTGCTTATTGGTCATTAAGATAAATTTACTCTTAATGAAAAACTTAAAATCTAAAGTATATAAAGCTTAATATTAAAATTTAGATTTTTTTTCACATAAACGTCATATTTTGGGGAGAGGATTCTTAATTTTATTTTTGCTGAGGTTTTAAATGCTAGGCAAGTGCTCTAACAATGAACTACATTCCCAGCCCAGGGAAAAGAATCTTTAAATAAGCTTTTATGGGTGTTAGTAGCCATCTGCCCTGTCTTTAGTCTGTGACCCTCTTTGCTTTACTTCTCAGAAGCTCCCTTCTGCCTCCCCAAACTTGGCATGTGCTCTTGGGACTGCTAAACATATAAAAGTCATATGACATGTATACCTCAAAGATGGAAATGCTTCCTCTCTCGGCAGATGGAAACTTTGAAGCAGGAAAGAGAGTCTGCTTTTGGAAGATTGTTCAGTTGATAGTGAGGAAGAAAGAAAAGAAGGGAAGCAGAGGAAACAGCACTATGACTGTTGTAATAGTACAAGTGAGTCAGTGTAGCAGGGGCAGTGCAGTAATTACTTTTTTTTTTTTGTGTCTTCATTTTGACTAATTTGTTTTGGCATTTTCTTCCTATTCACACAGAATGCTATTTCTTTTTCAGAGTTTGATAAGATAAAATTTATTTTAAAAATTCAATCTCTAATTCCTACTTGAAGTCATTTTTAGTCAAATTAAAGGTGGAATTATCCTTTATGCAACTCTTGGCAGTACTATTTTGGCATTGATCACTTTCACTGTCTTATATTTTGTTGTGTTTTCACCAACATATAACATACCTTTCTAAGTGTTTTGCTGAATATTGGTCAAGTACAATAGTATATTGATAAAATAAATTGTGAGACATTAGATTGTAGAAATAATTCAGACTATTAATAAGCTTTTCAGAGGTTCTACCATGCTTTATTTGTGTTACGCCTCTCTAAAGAGTGGTTTGGATCAGGAATATGGCAAACTCAAGTTTGGTCTACATTACTCACTTAAGAAATAAATGGAGAGTTAGACAGAAAGATTATGTATTTTTCCCAAATTTCTTGGGATTAGAGAGTGTAAGATTGATTTTAGTGTTAAATCCCATAATTTGAACTCATAAGTATTTCATTATAAAAATGACATATAATTGATTATATGTAAAAATGATCTTTTATTACCTTGGTTCAGTTTTCATATGACACATATCATACCCATCCCTTCTAATTAAACTAAGTGTTATTTTTAGAAGATAGCACAAATATAATACATTTCTATAGTTTTCAATTAAATTTTTGATTCAATTTTCTTTGCTCTTGGAAAGATAGCTGTTAACAGGGCTCCCTCTTGTGGTATGTAGAGATATTAGGAAATAGCTGTAACTTGTGCAGTTATAGATTGGGTTTCTTCAACTGCAGTAACTCTGTGCTTTCATGTGTAGTTAGAATTTTTAAGTATTAAATTACTTAAAATGTGGTAAAGAATTTAGTACAGATATTTTGTGGAAAATCCTGTTGGAAAGAGAATATCTGGCCTTATTAAAAAGTTTTTGAGTTTTTATACTGAATTTTTAGAAAGCAAAGTTGATAATCATATAAATAAAGATTTTACTTGACTTTTTCAAGGAAAAAAAAGCAAATGTCTGTCTTCTCATATCTATTGTCTCTTGTTTTCAAAATTGTGCTTACCTCTTGTCCACCCACATCTGAAGTCCTAAACTAACTCCTAGAAGCAAAAGTTTTATATAGTTTCCATTTAGAGTTATAAGTAAAGCAAACTTGAAGATTAAAGAAGTTGAATGTGAGCAGGGTCTCTACCTGTTGAAAGTGTTGGCTTCTTTTGTTTTATATGCTCTAGGGTGTAGTCTTTTCTTTCTTATGCCTTGAGTCCAGGCTAGGGAAGATTATCTCTTGTTTCTCTTCAAAGAGTTGGCTCGTGATTTTGTCAAAAACATTATAAGAAGGTTTCTGTTTTGTTTTCCTTTCAATCTCATTTCATCTCCTTAACAGTAATCTTTGGGAGTATACTCTTTCTGCCAGTTTCAATTGCAGACCTTGATGGTAGTGTACTATTTTCTTTATTTACTTTCCTGTCTTCACTAAAAACGTAGTCTTTGGGAGTAAGATTTAGGAAGAAGCCAAGAGGACTGACATGATCATCTGTAATAATTAAATGCATCTGTTGAAGTAGATACTTTACAGAAAAAAATAGTAAGAAATAAGCCCAATATTTGTAATAAAATGTGTTCTTCTATTTTAGAATAACAGATACCATTGGACCAACAGAAACCTCAATTGCACCAAGACAAAGACCAAAGGCCAACTCTACTACTGCCACTCCCAGTGTACTGACCATTCAAAGTTCAGCAACCCCTGTTAAAGTCCCTGCTCCTGGTGAATTTGGTAACCATAGACCAAAAGGTAATGCAGCTTTCATAGTCAATGGAAATAAACCTTAGATGATTTGATTTTCAAGAGGCATAAATTACCAGTAAAAAAGTAGATAATAATACATCAAAAAACTTTGTGCTGATATCTAATAGACTCAATTATTTTTCTTAAGGTTTTCTGAAGGCAAAGAAAAGTTATTGGCAATGTAAAAGTATAATATGAAAAGCTCAAAATTTTCCTTGATTCTAATACAAACTCTTATCCCGAGAGATAGGTTTGGCATTGATAATAAAGTTCAAGAGTATAGGGAGTTCTGTGTTGTATTGGAAAGGAGGTGGTTGAATCTCTGGTCTTTGAAAGCTATGTATCTTTCTTTGCTTTGAATCTATAGCCTTGGTGAAGGAACCATGTGCACATTGCAACATAAGAACTGGTATTTTAGTTTGATTTTGAGAATTATTTTTCTAATCTAAAACATCTCCTAAGTATTTTGGTAGTGTGGTACTTAAAACAGTTTTTCTCACTAAGGGAATATTCCTGACTGATGAAGTACATTTAATCTTAATCTCTCAAGGGTCTGGGGATATAATGAAGACTTATCTCAAAGATAACTCCAGTTTACACTTCCATTTTATAACAAACTTGTGTTTTGTTTTTAAATGTTAAATGTTTTCATTTAGAATACTCTCAATGGTTCAAAGCCTGCATTTTGAATGAATCTATGTTGAGTCTTATTTCTCTCATTTTTCTTTAGTAATATATCTTATAAAAATATTAGTACTTATAGGATTATTAGAAGGCTTAAATGACTGGTTAATGTAATGCCTGGTACAGAATATGCCCTTAAGAAATATTAATCATTAGACACTTTTATTACTATTAAGTCAAATATATGGTGAGGGAAGATAATGTTTATTTTTATATTAACCTGGCATATTGCTACATATCTATGTGGTAATCAGGTGCACCAATTAGAGTAGTGTCCTATGGGAAAGGGAAGGTAATGGGAAAGGGAAGAAATGTTCATTCACATTTCACCATTTCTTAGCCTCACTGCTGTTCTCTTGTGTAAAATGAGGACAGCAAATCTTGTTCCTATTCTGAGGAGTAAATAGAAGGTGTATGTTATGTAGAAAAATCCTATCTCAATAAGCATTCATTGATCTTTTCCCTACTGTTTTGGTTTGGAGACCTTATTAGTTTTATTTATCACATATCAGAGTTCCCTGGCAAAAGGCCAACTTGAAACACATTTGTGCTTGAACAAGTCAGATTTCTTTCTTACAAATTACGGGGAACTGTGAGGTAGCATTTGAAAAAACATTTTCAGAATTTGGACTTGTTTTGGATAATTTTGGGGAGGAGTTAAGGAAGTGGGACATCTTTGGATTCTATCCAGAAGCCTGGGCATGATATGGTTTAGGTATCAAATCTTATCCTGAAGGAGAGAAGCTAAAGCCTCAATTGGTTACAGAGTAGCAGTCAAATGAGGCAAGATAGAGGGACCTTGGGTTATTTTTGTGGTTTGGACAAAGTTCATGATTCTGTTTGTGTTCAGATATGAATATAGAGTGGTTTTGTGTCTTGATCTTTCCTAGACACAGAGTAGTAACCTTATCTGATGTTAAGTGTTTTATGAAATAAACCAACATGTAAGCACTAAGACCCAGCTGTGAGGGCCAGGCCTGTTCCTGATATAAGGAGCTACATTTCTCTTATATTTGCTTCCAGCTTAAGTTGGAAAAATTATACTTTTTCCCCTCCCATATAAGCTCCTTTTTAACATTTCCTTCTCCTCTGGAAATCATATAGAAAGAAACACATATAAGAAAAGAAAGTAAAAAAAGTGTGTTTTCTCTTAAAATATGCARATAACACAGAAATATTCAGAGGGAAATATAATTCTCCTTTTTTAAACTTAGAGCATATAGTTGTACATAATAGTTGGGTTCATTTTGACAAAAACATAAATGCAAGCAATTTGATTTCAGTTTCCATTCCCCCCACTTTTCCTCCCATCTTTCTTCTATTTTTTTCTACTCTACTGATCTTCCTTTCTTTGTTCCTTTATTTATTTAGTTTATTTTATATGTGTGTGTGTGTGGGGTGTGTGTATATATATACATATACAAAGGGGAAATTCCCTTTGGTACATTTGTGTATTCATATAACATGATTTTATCAAATTCATTGCATATTTCCTTTGCTTTCCCATCCTTCCTCCTTCCCTCTTGTTCTCCCTTCTACCCCATTGATCTTCCCTATATATCTATGATATTATTTCTTCCCTCCTCACCTTCTTTAGCTCTGGTTTCCACTTATTAGAGGAAACATTTGGCTTGTGATTTTCTGAAATGTAACTTATTTCACTTAGCATGATGTCCTCCATTTCCATCTGTTTAATTAATTCAATTAATTCATTCTTTATGGCTGAGGAAAACTCCATTGTGTATACTATACCACATTCTCTTGATCAATATTCATTTATTCAAGGGAATCTGGATTGATTCCTTAATTTGGCTCTTGTGAATCTGGACTGATGCCTTAATTTGGCTGCTATAAACATCGATGTGACTATCACTATAGTTAGTATGTTGACTTTAGTTCTTTTGAGTAAATGCCAAGGAGTGGGATAGCAGGGTCTTATGGTAATTCTTTTCCTACTAATTTTGAGGAATCTCCATACCACTTTCCAGAGTGTTTACATTAATTTGCAGTCCTACCAACAATGTATCAGGGTTTTCTCTCACATCCTTGCCTGTTTTCTTGATAATTGCTATTATATTACGTAAGTCTCCTTCTTTTCTTCCCAGAGCTAACCAGAAGTAGTTCAGTGTGCATTCTCTTATATTCTTATGTGATATATATATATATATATATATATATATATATATATATATATAGATACAAGTAATTTATGTTGTCATTGACTTCAGTGAATTCATACCATATACATTTCTCTGGCAAGTTGATTTTTTCTTCTTAATATATTTTGGAAAGCTTCTTAGCTCATCATTGCATAAAGAATTGCCAAGTAATTCTTAATAGGAATGTGATATTTTATACCATAAATATACGATGGCTTGTATAACCATTTACATTATTTTCTATATTTTCTGTTACTAATAGTGTTGCAGTGAATATCCTTACATCCCATTCTTTAATGACATTAGGACATTTCTCTAAGGAAGGTATTAGGAAGTTTTTTTTTTTTTAATTTTGTTTACATACTTCTAAATTGCCATCCAAAAGACTCCAGAAATTTACACTGATATCAACAGTGTCAGTCTCATTCCTATTCTTGCCAATGCTTAATGATAGAAGTTTTTAAAAATGTTGTCTTATTGTTAGGTAAAACATTTTTATTGCATTTTAATATTCCTGATTAATAGTACACTTTCATCTGTTCATGTTTTTCTTCTATGAATTAACTGTTCCAATTTTCCATGAGATTGTTTTCTTTTTATTGCTCTGAATATTTATTTTTATTCTGAACATTAAGTCTTTAACTTTTTGCCAAATACATTATAAATCTTTTCTTCCATTTTTGCCATTCATCTTTACATTTGTGAATATACATTGAGACATAGGAAAAACAAAATTTTACAAGGTCAGTTTTACACTTTTCATTTTTCTGCATTTTGTAATGTATTTCAAAGAAATTTTTTCCATTTTTTTTTAAGTGCTGATACTTTTTTTGTTGTTGTTGTTAATAGTGGTGTTTGTTTTCTGCAGTTAGCTTTTCAGTCTTCCTGGAATTTATTTTAGGGTATAGCATGGAGAAAGGACTAAGTTGAGTTTTTTTTTTCAGTTTTCTGTAGTGCCATTTATTAATTAGTACAGTATTGTATATTTTTTCTATTCTTTCTCTCCTGATTTGAAATGCCACATTCATCATAATCTAACTTTCCATATTGATTCCTTACCTCTTTACTGTACTATTAGTGTAACCAGAACCCCGGTAGAGTAGAATCCTGCTTGGAGGTACAAACCATCTGGGAAAATAAAAAGGCTGAAATAATCAGCAAGAAATGAAGACAAAACCAGAAGTTAGATTTAAAACAGGGGCACCTGATGAGTCTTCCAGCCCTGATAGGAACTGGAACTGAACAACTGAAAAAGGCCCCAATTCTTTATTTAAGGGGGGAAGTACATCAAAGGCAGGGATAAGGTTTCAGTGTGGTAGGGATCTTGCAGTCAACAGGTTGTTTGGTGCTTGGTAGACTATGCCCATTGGTAGGTTATGCCCTTTGATTCTAGTGCTTTAAGCTAAAGCAGGGCACCAGTGTGATCTGGGAAATTTCATCCAGGAGTTCCTAGAAAAACAGCTTCCCTGCCTTAGTGGCTCAAACAATATCCATAGTTCATACAGGGCTCTCAACACTGTATTATTGAATTGTTTTTTTAATACCTCTTCCACAACTTTCTAGTTTTGATAAATCTAATCAGACAAGTAGACTAACATCCTTCTCTAAAATTTCCTTCTGTATGAATTTTAAAGAAGGCCTCTCAAATTACAAAATATAATTTTTAAATATTATTTAAATCCAATGACATACTGAATTTGGAGGAAATTCACGTTTTAATTTTTGATCATTATACTCATCCATATTACTAATTCTTTTATTAATTCTAATAGATTTTAGTTGCTTATCTTGAATTTTTTTGAGAGGGAGAATCCCTTTTTGATAATGATTTGCCTTTTTCTTATGATTATTTATACATTTACTGTTTTCTTTTATCTTATAGCACTGGATAAATTAAATTCCCTTAATATTAAATAGCAATGTTGATAGTTTACATTCTTGTCATTCTCTTTTGCTCCAGGTTTTATGTCTTCCCTGTGTTTCTGTTATTTATTTATTTTCAAAGTCTGGTAGATGAAGTTTTTCTTTATTCCTAGCTTATAATTTTTTTTTTTTTTAGAGTTAGGAATGAATTGCTTTTCTCCCCTCCAATATCTGTTGATAAATGGTATTATTTTCTCCTTTGATGTGTTATTTATTATGTTATTACATTTTTGGATAGTA